GACACACAATATATTATTATGAAGTGTTCAGTAGAAATCAGGACACCTTTGTTGAATATTTAATAATGGGTGTATAGGCCGTCACAACGACGTTCTGACAAATGTTGAGGTCTGATTACTTTCGTAAAACAAATAAATAATAAAAGTACGATTTTTCCTAAAACAATTCTTCAAATATACAGGATGATTCACAAATGGTGACCAAAAATGAAACCCCGTATTATTTGGATAATTTTGAGAGGAGTCTTTCCTATAAAGTTTTTATCTAGGACGCTTCGTTAAAAAGATACAGGGTGTCAAACTTCAAAAAATATTTTTTAAATATTTTAAAAACTAGTTATTGAAATAATTTGAAATTGGGTACATGTATTTATGTAAACATTGTCCAAAATCTGAGGGCTTTTCCTAAAATTTACATGCCCCAGTGGCGGTGATACAGCATATCGGTGGCATACTTTTCTAAATAAAATAGTACGCCACTGCTTTCAGTAACAACCATAATATTTTCGGATGTGTGTTTCAATTACACAGAACCACAAAAAAAATCGACGAAAAGTCTCCTCGGCCAAACCTATCGTATTATATGTTTTTTAGGTCGCTGAAACCGAATCTGCAACTCATTTGGTCCCATCACGTCAGAGTTTTTTTCTAACCTCAAAAATTAGCTGAAATGAAATGGTAGAATTCAACAAAATCAACGCTGCAACCTGTTAAAACCTTATAACTCCACATCCTTATGATACCGAACGAGCTCGACAAGCCGTAAAATGATAACTCACAACCGTAAAAATACATAACCTCAAAATTGGATGAGCCCAAAACCCAAAAACCCAAAATAAGCAGCGAATAAACTTACACGTAGGGCACAAACCTTCATTTTTGAATAGTAAACCCTTTTAACCTAAAACCCCGAAATCCCATAATCTGAAAACACGACAAGGCCTCAATTTGAAACCTCAAAACCCCGAAGCTGAATAACCCTAAAACTCCAAAACTTCAAAACCAGGGCCGGCATTAATAAGGGTGAGGGTGGCGATCACTTCGAGCGTCACACAAGAGCAGCGAGACACACACTTCGAACAAAGAAGCCACTGGCCGAAACTCATAAACTTAAGCTCCCAAACCCACATACCCTGGATGAAGCTAAATCTCTAAACCCGAGTTCCCTAACCCACAAAGACTGAGTGCAGTAAGATCTCTAAACCCGGGCCCCCAACCCACATACCTTGGGCACAGCAAACCCTCAAACCCAAGCTCCTAAACCCTCATATCCTAGGAGCAGTAGAATCCACGTTAGTTGCGCAACAGACAGGCAAACGGAACGAGTATGCTTTTACACTCAAGCTTCCGAATCCTCGCAGCAGATAAGCGAGCAAAGCCAGCTTTCTTTCACACCCAAGCTCCCAAGCCCACATACTCTGGTCGGAGCGAGATCAATGTTTGTTACAAAGAGGATAAAGAAGCAAATGGATCTTAGTATCAAACTTAACCTTGCAAACTTTAACACTCTCTTGTTTCACCTAGGGTATGCGGGTGTGGAAGCTTGGTTTCATGAGTCCCGCCAAAGGCCTGTGTGATGGAAGCGTAGATCTTGCTGCGCCCAAGGTACGTTGTGCTCAGGGTATGTGGGTTTGGGATTTTGGGTATAGGGACCCTACTGCGTAGGGTGCCCCTAGGGTATGTGGGTTTGGGTGCTTAAGTTTATGAGTTTCGGCCAGTGGCTTCTTTGTTCGAAGTGTGTGTCTCTTTGCTCATGTGTGACGCTCGAAGTGATCGCCACCCTCACCTTTATTAATGCCGGCCCTAGTTTTGAAGTTTTGGGGTTTTTGGAGTTATTCAACTTCGGGGTTTTGAGGTTTCAGATTGAGACCTTGTTGTGTTTTCAGGTTATGGGGTTACGGGGTTTTAGGTTAAAAGGGTTTACTATTCAAAAATGAAGGTTTGTGCCCTATGTGTTAAGTTTATTCGCTGCTTATTTTTGGTTTTTGGGTTTTGGGCTCATCCAATTTTGAGGTTATGTATTTTTACGGTTGTGAGTTATCATTTTACGACTTGTCGAGCTCGTTCGGGATCTTAAGGATGTGGAGTTATAAGGTTTTAACAGGTTGCAGGGCTGATTTTGCTGAATTCTACAATTTTTCAGCTAATTTTTGAGGTTAGAAAAAAACTCTGACGTGATGGGACCAAATGAGTTTCAGATTCGGTTTCAGCGACCCAAAAGACATATAATACGATAGGTTTGGCCGAGGAGACCTTTCGTCAATTTTTTTTGTGGTCCTGTGTTATCTACAAATTACTACTATATTATGTTTTTCGAAAAAAGCCTGATTTTCGAGTAAAACTTAATAAACGAACTGTGATTCGTGGATTTTCTGAACCCCAAATTAGAGATCGCTGAAAAAAATTTAAAAAGCATCCACTTGTTTCATAATTCATAATCCATAACTCAACAAACTCTCTTCGCTCTGCTTCAGTTGTTGAGTCAATTGAACTTTGTAAGCGTGGAGATGCAAATTTTTCGTGAAAATACGCTATAGAGAGCTTCTTCAAATGTCAAATGAGTATTGAAAACTATCGCCCCATAACTATTGTTAATAATCCTTCAAAAGCTCTCGAAACTTTTATATATGAAATTGTATTTTCTTATGTAGTCTTCTATACAGGGTGTCCCGGAAATGGTAGGCAATCTCTCGGATATGGATAGATAATGAGAAAATAATGTCACAAGTTCATATAATTTTTTTTCCTCTGGGCTCACCCTGTAGAGTTATCAGCTCTTGAAGTTGATAATTAAAAATGGTTTTTTTGCTGTAACCTTTGTATTTTTCAATAAATTATGAAAATTTTTTGGCTGGATCTATAATTTTTGAAGCTGCTTTGGATGATAATATGAAATCCTCGATAATAATTATGGGGCCCGGGGGCAAAGCACCCCCCACAAAAATTTTTAGAAAAAAAATTTTTGTTCCGCTGTACCCCAAATTTTCCATCATTTTATAAAAATATATGGTATTTTTTATTTTTTTTCTAGAAATTTTGGTGGAGGGTACTTTGCCCCCGGGCCCCCATAATTATTATCGAGGATTTCATATTATCATCCAAAGCAGCTTCAAAAATTATAGATGCTGATAAAAAATTTTCAAAATTTATTGAAAAATACAAAAGTTACAGCAAAAAAAACATTTTTAATTCTCAACTTCAAGAGCTAATAACTCTACAGGGTGAGCCTGGAGGAAAAAATTTTATATGAACTTGTGACATTATTTTCTCATTATCTATCCATATCCGAGAGATTGCCTACCATTTCCGGGACACCCTGTATATGTAAGTACCGAACAGCGATCAATGTTCACCATCTTGACATGTTTGTCACAGTATATTTCTGCGCATTTGGATAATAGTGGTCAGGTTGATGTTGTCGATAGGGACTTCTCCAAGGCCTTCAATCGGTTGGATCATGGTATTCTACTGTCAAAACTCTCCAATATGGGATTAACTCAGTTATTTAGTAAATTATTTCAGTTTTATCTATCACAGAGGAAATTTACAGTGGAGTATCGTGGTCTCCGATCAATGGAATTAATACTATATGTGGAGTTCCGCAAGGGTCAATCCTCGGTCCGTTATTGTTTCTGATTTTCATTAATCACATTACGTTGAACCTAAATTGTAAGACCCTTCTGTACGCCGACGACCTTAAGTTATATTTATCCGTAGGTGACTTGAATGATTGTGTCCGGCTTCGATCTGATGTAGATAGAGTAATTGGTGTGATACGAATTTATTACCTTTAAACTTGTCCAAGTGTAATTCCATGACTAACCACTAGAAAGACTAGCCCGATTACACATAATTATTTTGTTGGTAATAACTTGATTAGGAAATAAACCTCTTTTAAGAATCTTGATATAACATTTGATATTAAACGTGAATCTTGGTTTCATTTTGAGGAATTCACAACAATTTACGGAAATTAAGGCAGTGTTCCTATTGTTTAATGCATTTTTTCTCCCCAAACTGGAATATGCCTCTCTAGTATGGAATTCACAGTATATAGTTCGCAGTAAAAGACTTGAGAACATTCAACGGAAATATGTTAAGTACTTATGATTCAAGTCTGATGGATGTTATCCACCACAGGGATATCTCATGATACTTTGCTTGGACGATTTGTTCTTAATGACCTGGAGCTCGATTCTTAACGGTGAGGGAATAGAATGCTCCATAGGAAACGTTTCCTCATTTCGCTCTACTACTGTTCTATCACATGACATGCTTTAGGATATTATATGTGTACTTGTTTTAATTGAATTTTAAAATGATTGTAATAGAATTCAGTGATAGGTGTTCAAATGCTTGCCTTACTTTATGCATACAATTTTCCTTTGTTGTTATTGGAGTACCATATACACTATTTTTTAGTCTCCCAAATAAAATCATCTATATCAATTTAAAATAAGAAAGTTGGTACCGACTTTTTTTACTTTACCGACCGATTTTAACTTGGTATACCCCACGGTCCGTATCACACCACCACAATTTCAAAAAAATCCTTCCAGCGGTTTCCCAGATATCCATCGATGGAGTTTGTGGTGGACACCCATAGTTCTATGTTAGTCAATGAAAACAAAAAATAAATCATCTCTGCTTAATTTTATACCGTTACTTAGGAAATAGGAAAAATAACATACAAGTATGATTACAATAACACAAAAGATTCTGTGTTCTCTGTCAACTTGCGAGCTATAAGTAATTTTGAACTAAATATTCGACTGTGTCCTTGTTTTAAATAACAACACGGACTCTGGTCAAAAGTGCAAAAATGACGTATAGTGAAAGTTTTTTTTTTGAAATTTATTTTACGTGTACTAAACAATAGGACTAAATCAGAAAAAATTATATGAAAACACTATCAAGTAATTACCTCAAATATGAATTACTTGATTTACGTATTCCTAATAGTTTAACTTTCTTCTATAAAGATTATATATTTTTTCTAGATTGAATGGTATAGAAACGAGGAAAGGGTGAATGAAGGAGAGAGATATAGATTTGTAATTGAGGGAGGATTCCATTGTGTCGATGTGGCTCCCGTGACTGCCCGCGATACAGGAAGATGGACCTGCACCGCTCGAAACGCTTCAGGTCAAGCATCTAGCTCGTGCCATCTCAACGTACTCGGTAAGAGAAATCAATTCATCAATACTTATGGCGTTTTAGAAATCATACGTCATCTCTTATGGCAAAATTCTTCATCCAAATATTAGACAGATAATTTTTATAGATGTAGTTCTTACTATATTTCATAGATTTTTCTGTAATTGTTAATTTTTATACTAAAGCCGCTTTAAATCTATTAGGAAAGAGTTAGTTTCCTCTATAATGTTATATACCTTTCATTTCCGAAATCTTGGAATAACTAAAACAAAATATGAATTTTGTATCTCAGAAACCAAATGAGGAGAGACATGCTAATAGGCACTATTATTTAATATTTCATAAGGAATGGTGTACAGGGAGATTCAGTATATTTTAACTTTTTTGTTTTAAGAGTTATAAAAAAAAATGTGAAATATGCACGGCCTAATTAGTGCGATTTCTGTACATTACCTATACGCATTTAGGACCATATCAATGTCTGATCTATCAAAATATATTATAACTAAATCTGTAAATCCTTACGTCATTGTAAAAAGACAAAAATGCCTGAAAAAGGTTTAACAATTACAAGATGTCTTATTTTCTTAATAAAAAACCTTTTCGTTTTTTAATAGTATCTCGCTTATTGTTAGCGATGGACCCAACAAACCCTACATATGACTATGCTCGACAGGGAGCGTTCTATCCAAATATGTAAAAATATACAGGGTGTTCCATTTAACTTAACAAAGTTAACATCCGCGGCCATTTTGTTTGGACTTCAAATATTCATAAAAACTCGTGCAACTTTTATATTTCACATTTGTTTATAACTCTCAAAACAAAAAAAGTTAAAGGGGGGTCAAAATATAGTGAATCACCCTGTACATATTTTTTTTTAATTTCTTAAGTGTGTTAAGTGTAACAATGTAATTTATTTTGTATTTTCGGTTCTTATTTACTTTTCGTTTCAAGGTGTCATTTTTTACTATCAAAAATTTTTATTATTACTTAAACTGTAAAAATATGCCTTAAAAAAATTGACTTCTTGTTGTGTTTAAATAGAGAGAGAGTCCTTTTAATCGTTCTTAAAAATAAGAAACTCAACTTGTTAAATTTCAACTCTATAAATGGAGAATTTACATAAAAAAATGTATAGCATATACTATTCTACAATGAAATGCGAACAGTATAAGCAATTTCCTTATAAACTCCTTATCTAAGTTTTTATTTGATTTCAAAAAAATTGATTCAAACCGTACGCCATTGTAATTAACTTGCGCCGTACTAGACTATTGACGTTGTTACAACAGAAAACTTCTTATTTAAATAACTCCTTATTGTCTGCAGATTAGTAAATACAAGGATGACAGTGTTATGAGATTTTAGCTGAATTTCCTATTAACAGATGGCGCACTTAAGGCATAGTTTAGCAAGTCACAGCTGTTCGTCAAATTCGTTTTAGTTTTATATTTTCTTAATTTTGAGTTAATGATTTCACACATAAATTTCATAAAACAATACAGGGCAAGTTTTTTGTCACATTATTTCATTTTTCGCTAATACCTGGAGAGGTGGCAAACAAAAGTGGTACTCACTTCTATTCCTATCCTTTTGACAGGATTGGCAGACTTCGTGTTAGATGATTCCAATATATTTTGATTTCCTCCTGTAAAAAATAAAAGCAAAAATGTTATTTTCAGCTTTTATTAGGATTGGTATAGTAATAGAGCAGTTAGATAGTGAATACATAGGTACATTTCGTACAAAGTTTATTCATCGTTCTAATTACAGGATTAGTTAATAGTTTTAACTGATATCAAAAGTACCGATGTTACTAATAAAATGTTTGACTGAAGAAATAGTAGTGATATGCCAACATGCATTGTATATTGATACTAATCACCATGTGGTTATTGATTCTATATTGTTTCCGTAATATTTACTGTTTGCTTAAAGTGCACATATCTTAAGGTTTTCTCTTATACGGCTATTTTGAGCGTTTGAATAATTATTTGGGGATATTCTTAAAAAAAATTGATTGTTTGCCCTTTAGTTGTATTTGAATTTTTTTTACGATTCAAATATAACTAAACCGATTTGCAACTATTTCTTTTTTTACGTGTATTTACCTATGTATTAATTTATTACATACTCATAATTGGACTTTATAAAAAACATCGAATATAAATCTATTTAAGGCGTCAACTCAAACCTTTGATACATCAGGTACAATCATTTTAAATGGAGATGAAGTAGCAAGTGATTCTGTAGATTTAGGTAAACTGAAGGATAAAGAAACATAAAAATAAACAACATAAATATTCAATTTTGTGAAAATCAGGACGAATTTTAAATAAAATAAAAATATTAGAAAGCAATAAAAATATTTAAATTATATTTTATAGAATTGTGATAGGGTGAATCACTATATTTTGACCCTCACATTAACTTTTTTGTTTTTAGAGTTATAAAAAAATGTGAAATACAAAAGTTGCACGATTTTGTATGAAGCTTTCGAAAGTATAGACATTCAAAATATAAGAAATCATAATTTTAAATAATTATGTATATAAAGACCACAAAATAAGTTCTACTATTTCAATAAATTAAAAAATGCAGTTGCTACAGATAACAAATTATTTTTGGTACAGTGGTTTATATCACACTGCATAGATAGTAAATTATATTTATTTGCCATGACAGATGGGAGATTTAAGAAGTATGTTGGTTTTAGCATTTCCACAATTTAACATGCAATCAACACGAGACCAATGTCTAGGAACTCATATATCGAAGGAACCCAGTAGATATGCTGAGTCAACACTGGCTTGAAGATATTTAAATAAGAAAGATAAACTATTGAGTATTCTTCTAGTCTGTCAAAGATTGCATTTTGAATCTATCTAACATGTTAGATGTTCACACACTCCATTTGGAGACTATCAATTTGAAAGCTTAAAAATTTAAGAAAACAACGTTGAACTGTTTCAAGCTTGTTAGTATGTATCTGGTAGTAAGGGTACCATATAAGGCTGCTGTATTCTAATTTAGAACAAAGAGTAAAACAGACATTTCAATGCGGTAACGTTATTAAAAGAACTTGAATTTCTGACTATAAAACTCAAAGCTCTATTCGCCGCATTTATAATTACATTGACATGATCAGTGAAGGACAGTCTATTGTCATATATTACACCTAAATCCTTAACATTATCGCAACGCGCCAGTAACGCATTTTCAAAGGTGTCGTTAAATATTAACGGTTCTTTTTTGGAAGTAAATGAGCAGACCTTATACTTATCTACATTAATAGGTAATTGATTATTCTCACACCATCCACTTACAAGATCTACCTGCTCTTGCAGTATTAAACAATCTTCCAAATTAGATACGTTCAGAAATAGCTTCAAGTCGTCGGCAAAAAATAGACGATTAGATTTTAGGGACAGAGATAAATCATTAATAAATGAAATAAAAAGAAGTGGTCCTAAATTTTACCCTTGAGGTACTCCAGATGTCGCTATAAAATTGTCAGATTTAAATCCGTTGTATGAAACATATAGTTCGCGTTGAGAAAGATAGGATTCAATGAGAAGTATCAGATTATGGTTTAAGCCAAATAAACTTAACTTATTAAGAAGTATGCCATAACTAACTTTGTCAAAGACCTTCGAGAAATCTGTATACATCACATCAATTTGTCACTTGTTATCCATATTATATTTATTTATTTATTTAATTTAATTGATCCAACAGGATGAGAATCCTTTTACAGGATGAATAAAAACAGAAAACATGTAACATAAAAGTAGCATAATAATTACAATAAAACAGCAAATGGTATAAAGAAAGACAATAAAAACGGAATAGAACATCAAAAATAGTTAAAAAAACAACGGCAACATAATATAGATAACTAGTAATGACATAACAATATTACAAAATAAAGACAAAAATAAAACATGGGTTATAAGAATAAAATACACATCTTAAAATGCGTAAGCTCGCTTTATATCCGCAAGCGTACAATTAAATACCTCCAGCCGTTCTTCAATGTTACAGTAATTTCTTGGCATCATATACAAGGGAGACCACTGCAAAATATTAGTACGGGAGTAGGGAACAACAAATGAATTATTAGATCTAGCGTTAGCTCTAGAAACGCTGTAGCTAACAACAGAGGTAAGCATAATGCAATCCATACCATTGTCAACAAGCTTGTATAGGAAAATTATAGAATTCATAATTCTCTTTCTAATTAGACTGCTTATGTCAAATCGTTTCAATAATAAGTCTTGTGAATACCCTCTGGTTGGATAAATCCCATCCAATATGAAACTTGCGGATTTAAAGAACCTTCGCTGTACTTTCTCTAACGCCGTTATATGACAATTATAACATGGAGATCAAATTACAGAGGCGTACTCCAATTTAGGCCTAACAAAGCTATTAATTAATACTCGTAATGTAGATATGTTTTTAAAATCTCTACTGTTACCCCAGATTCTTGTACGCTCCAGCTATGCATTCTTCCATATTTTATTGAATGTTAATTTGCCGTCAAAAATGATGCCGAGATCTTTGACAAATTCAGGCCGATTAAGTATCTGATTATTTAAAGTATAATTAAAACAAATTTTACTATTTTTACGAACAAATGACATAACATTACATTTGAAAGCATTCAAGGGCAGTCGATTACAATTACACCATACATTAAGTAGGTTCAAATCATGCTGTAGTTGCAAACAATCGGATTCGAAGTTCATATTTACATAGAGCTTGAGGTCATCAGAAGTGAACATTTAGATCTTGGGCGATATCATTAATATACAAAATAAAAAGCAAAGGTCCAAGTATGGAGCCTTGCGGCACACCGGATTATACTGAGTATACTGAGTAAATTGAGCTAAATTAGTTACAGATCGTCTCGGAACAAATCCATGTTGGTTTGCTGAAATATAACCCTTGACAATACTGAAGATTAGGGTATATTGAGACATCTTCCATTTTCTGTTATTTTTTTCAGTACCGAAGACTTACAAAGCGCCCGAGTTCCTGGAAGAACTGCGTGCTCTTCTCACCGAACAGGGAACTGTTTCGTTGGAGTGCAAGGTAGTTGGAGTACCGACCCCCCTGCTGCGCTGGTTCAAGGACGGCAAGGAGATTCGGGCCGGCGATGTCTTCGCCCTTACGGCGAACCCGGACGACCCCACCTCTTTGGGGATCTACGTCTGCGAGGCTGTGAACTGCATGGGCAAGGCCATCTCCAGCTCCAAGGTGCACGTTGTAGGGAAGGGAAGCAGAGAAGGGTCCCTTAAACCAGCTGACAGGTAATGGAAATTACACGTAAAATTTTTAAAGCATTTTTAATGTAATCCACTATATATTGTATTCCAGTCCTGTTCCTACCGGTCCTCCACCGATATTTGTTCGAGACTTACAAGACGAATCCATTAAAATTGGAGATCCCTTAGAATTGTCCTGTCAAGGTAAGTCCAATAACACAGCCCCACAAAAAAAAAAGTGGCAGGTCCGAAAGCCAAGACCATGGTATGCATATGGTTTTGGGGTCGCTGAATCCGAATCCGGTGTCCGTTTAACACGGTTTAAGGTCAGCTCAAGGTCTAATATAGAAACTAAACCTACATATCTATACGTTTTTGGGGTCGCTAAATCCGAATCCGGTGTACGTTTGACTCGATCAGATCTGGTTTAAGTTTAGTTCAAGGTCAAATGTAGAGAATCAATTGCCAACAAAGTAAACCAATATATTTATACGTTTTTGGGGTCGCTGAAACTGAATCTGATGTCCGTTTGATCTGATTAGCTCTGGGTTAAGGTCAATTCAAGGTCAAATGTAGAGAATCAATTGCCAACAAAGTATACCTACATATCTATATGTTTTTGGGGTCACTGTATCCAATTCCGGTGTCCATTTGACCCTATAAGATCTGGGTTAAGGTCAGTTCAAGGTCAAATGTAGAGAATCAATTGCCAACAAAGTATACCTACATATCCATACGTTTTTGATGTTGCTGAATCCGAATCCGGCGTTTGTTTGGCCCGACCAGGTCTGGGTTAAGGTCAAATCAAGGTCAAATATAGAAAATCAATTGCCAACAAAGTAAACCAATGTATCTGTTGTTGGGGTCGCTGAATCCGAATCTATTTGACCCGATCAGGTATGCTAAATACTCTCAAGTTCTAAACTTAATCAAAGTAATCATTTGTGGGTGTTAAAATTTGAGTCACAAATAAGATTAAAGAAAGAAAACGTTACTCTGAGCCCGTGACTCCCAAGTTAATTGTTTTGACATGACAAAATTCTAGTATTAATAAGCCTAATTAAGTAAGCTTTAAATCCATGTGCCCGTTAATGCTTCATATACATTAATTTACACAGTCCGTGACGTTTGAGATTTTTGAGAACAGATTTTCAAGGATTTTCCGGCTTGTTTAGTATTTGTTTAGCCATGATATTAGGAACTCTGCTCCATTCTCTGCCAGGCATAAATATCGAACACCATTTTCTTTTTTTTTTGTGATATTGTTCGTCTTTTTCACAACGTGATATGGAATATATTCGTCATAACTAGTATCACTAGCAATATCAGTGTTAGTTTTATTGCCACCCAAATTTCCTCCCTCTTTAATATCTTGGTGAAACCTTTCTCTCTGCTCGAACCCAATCAAATTTTTCACTTAGGTTTAAAACCAAAAAATTTGTATAAGCATCTTTCGTATGTTGATTTATACTTTTTTATTAGAAAGTATTAAATAGACCTGATAGGTTCGAACGAACATCAGATTCGTATTCAACGAGCCCAAAAACGTATAGATATGTAAATTTACTTTGTTTTCAATTGATTTGATCTAATTGAGTCAAATGGACATCAGATTCGGATTCGGCGACCCCAAAAATATATAGTTTAGTAGTTTAGTTTGTTGACAATTGATTTTCTACATTTGACCTTGAACTGACCTTAAACCAGAGCTAATCGCGTCAAACGGACATCGGATTTGGATTCGGCGACCCCAAAAACGTGTAGATACATAGATTTAGTTTGTTGACAATTGATTTTCTACATTTGATCTTGAATTGACCTTAAACCAGAGCTAATCGTGTCAAACGGACAGCGAATTCGGATTCAGCGACCCCCAAAACCGATTGTCTTTCGGACTTGCCACTTTTTTTGTGGGTCTGTGTAATCTTTAAGAAGTTTGTTATAAGTTGGGAAAGAGTTTGAAAAAAAGAGATCAAAATATGTACACCTTCTATTTTTTAAACGTTTGTTTTAAGATTTGAAATGGTATAAAAGTGTACAGTTTATATTTCCGAAATGTAACACTCAGTTGTAACGCAAGCCCTGGCTTGAAATCGCCTAAGACTTTGTTAGCAGAAACATCTTCAACATATTGGAATGGTAAAATACATGTTTCTCTATTTTCCAGTGTCTGTACCTCCCTGGCCTAAATCTATTTGCTGGTACAATTCTGAAGGTCGGATCGACGACCAAGTACATGGCAGCAGGTACAAACAGATGGCAGACGGAATTGGAGGATACATGTTAGAAGTTAAACCCACAGAGGCAGCCGATCAAGGCGAGTGGAAGTGTGTTGCCACGAGCCTGGATGGGGTTGTTGCTATTTCAACTTGTGATGTCAAAATGACCAGTAAGTAGTCTTAATATCCAATACAATTGTTTATTCAATAATTACAATTTGTGCTGTCTTTTTTCCAGTCCCCAAACATTTTAGAAAGCCTCGTTTTATGGATACTTTAAAAGCAGTATTAACAGAAGAAGGACTAGTGTCCTTTGAATGCAAAGTAGTGGGATCTCCTACGCCTCTGCTCAGGTGGTTTAAAGATGGACAGGAGTTAAAGCCAGGCGATGTTTATCAATTAACTGGCACAAATTCGTTAGGTTCTTACTGCTGTATTGCAAGAAATTGTATGGGCGAGGCTAGAAGTTCAGCAGAGTTAACAGTAGAAGATATACAAAGTCAATTAAACAATGAAGAACGCGAGCAACTAATTTCAAGAAGTAAAGCCCCAAAATTCATACACGGGCTTAAAAGTTGTGAGGCGAGAATTAATGAAAGTTTCAGATTTTCTGTTCAAGGTAAGATAACGCGTACTCAGTATACAGGGTGATTCAGCCATAATGTCATTAATTTTAAAAGCAGATAGAGGAAAATGAGTAGGTATAATACGATGGCGTGATTAAAAAAACAAAACTAAATGCATATTTAAGCAGAAAAAAAATATTTTCAAATCATTATTTAACCCCTTTTTCAGGCTGTTACTGACCGGCTGACGTCAGCCGGTTATTCACTATTTGATTTGCGCACGGCTACGATATGAACAACGCGCCCTAGATGCAACGTTGCCATATTTATATATTTTCGCTCATATAAGACAATAAATAAACGGTTTGCTCACGTCAACCAATAATAATTAAAAATGCTATAAATAATTTTTATAATTATGCAATCAACATATTAAATTGTTATTCTTACCCAGCAAGAACCTCGAGGAGGTCTGAGCATGCCTTGCCAAAAATGTGTTTTTATTAACATCATTAATTTTTTAATTTGCTGAAAACCTTCGGGCTTACAGAAAGTGTTCAAATACATTACACGTTGGATAGATGAGCGGCAGATGCGATGGAATAAACTAGGGCTGTTACGTATTTCTCCAGCGGCATCTTCGATACGATCCGGCAACTGTTCTACATTCTCTACCTCGGTGTGATACACGACATATTTCATATAATCCCATATACAAAAGTCCATAGGATTATCATCTCCCTATCCACCGATTGGGACATTGATCGTCTAAAAATCCACGGACATCGCGAGCAAAATGGGCCGGAACCCCGCCGTGCATATACCACATATCCCGTACCATCTGAAGGGGAAGGTTTTCAAACAATTCTACTAAAAATTGATAGTAACGCGGCCCACTCAGATGTTCAAGTAGAAAATGTCGCCCAATTAAACGATCGCGATATGAATCTCTTCTGAAATCGACGAGTAGTGTGCGGGTTTTCATCTGACCAAATGTGACTATTATGGCTGCAAAGAAATTAGCTCTGTTTCACTTTAAATAAAATTTAATATTGAAGTTACAAAACTCCAAGAGTTCAAGTAATTTAAATTTCATTTCATAACCATTTCAATTTCATTACAGAAATAATGACATAAAAAACCAACACTCACTAGATAAATTATAAAGAGAGGGTGAAATGTATGTAGTATTTAAATATTGACTGTAAGTAATAGAAGATCAAAAACAATCAGACGGAGACAAATAAACAACTCGGTACGTGTTTCCGACCTAGGCTAACCTGTGTCTAGGTCAGTAACCTTCTATCTAACCCACTTTTGATTTGCACGTGCACTATAGTCTAGGAGCCAGATAGGGTGCCGTGGCCAACCAGAGTGCCACGGCTGCAAACAACTTATTCGTAGTATTTTGAGTTCCTGAATCCAAAAAACTTGCTCGCAAAGCCTGAAACTGGTCAGTTTAATTGTTATCAACAAATTAAATGTTTAAATGGCTGTAAAAAGTTTATTTTTATAGCTAGTAAACGGAACCCTATCTGGCTCATAGACTAATACGAACTGTAGTAGGATCGTATTCCATGCAAAGTAGAGCAAAAAGTTGTCGGTCTTTTATCAAAGGAAAATTGAATGTAATGAATAGGGATGATTGTTTTCGAATGTACGGTTATTACAATTTATCATTTTTAATATTATTAATATTATTATTTAGAATTTATTATGTTAAATAATACACAGTTTTAGTATTTCAATTTATTATTCAATATACAGTTGCGTATAACCAAAGTTTACATAATAAATGTAAACTTTAGTGTAAATATAAACTTTGGTGTAACTAGGTAGGTACTTATTGTTTTTCAGAAAGTAATATGTTTTTTACCTGTTTAAAATGCCAGCACGAGTAAAACAACGTTCATCCGTCCAGCGCACTTTGTTTTAATAAAGTTAGAGTTTGCTGCACTTCGATTTAGGAACCAACTGCAAAATTCAAGACGATTGAGGAAATCAGCTGGTTCTAAAGCTTGAACTTTTTGAAAATGGTACGGGTTGAGTGAATTCTCGCGCAGTATCCGCCAAACTTTGGTTTGTGATATCTCCAGTCGCCTTGAAATTGTTCTTGTGGAAATAGTAGGCTGCTCCTTGACTAAATTTAAAACAGCCTCTATCACATTTAAGTCATTTTGTCCTGCACGTTCGTTGCGCGGTATGGTATGATAGATGCAGTTGGAAAAAATCGGGGGATATGGAAGGTGGTAGATTTGAATATACGCTTTAAATTCTTAATGGTTAATGGTTTTGTAACCGTGTGTAGTGTATTTTGTATATTCGGGTATTTAGTAGTGTGCCGACTTTTTTTATTTGATATTATATTTTCTGTCTGCCTTCCGAATACGTTTTTAAAATTAATGACATTATGACTGAATCACCCTGTATAAAAGATTATATTATTTTACTATTTCAGTTAGTGTAACTACTCCTTTGCCAACTTTGTCTTGGTTCAGAGATGACCAACCTGTTGACAACGAGCCTGAGAAATATGTCGTGTATCGAGAAAACTTAGGAGTTTGTCATTTGGACATTCGACCTGTGGAGTTCAACGACCAAGCCGAATGGAAATGCGTTGCAACCAACGAATTTGGTCATTCAGTGACTTCGTGTTTCCTCAAAATTAATATACCAAAGCATTTCAAGAAACCCAAATTTTTAGAATGTTTGCGAGCGGTGCTTTCGGAAGAAGGTGCCGTAAATTTAGAATGCAAAGTTATAGGAGTACCTCAACCAATTCTCAAATGGTATAAAGATGGAGTTGAACTGAAACCCGGCGACATTCACAGAATCACTTCTGGAGAGGTAAGTGGTAGGGTTTTTAGTGTGTGTGATTTTTCAGCATTTTAAATGTAGGATGGTACTTGTTGCTTGGGGACATACACATGCGAAGCGAGAAATTGTATGGGTACTGTGGCTAGTTCAGCATCACTCCTTGGCTTCGAAGACCAAAAGACCAGAAATCAGCAGAGAATGGAATTAGCCCGACAGCCATCGCTGTCTACAATACACGAGGAAAGAACGTCACAATTGTATGACACAGCGGGAGATCAGTCGTTAACACTTGCAGACCATGGAGAAGTATCATTCTCCTTCGATGGTAAAGAAGTGTCCGTTTCCTTATACGAAACGCCAGATCTCACCGAAGAAGAAGCCATACAAATCGTAGAAATGTACGCAGATCAATTGTCGGAACACGTTTCTGGTACCATAACCGTAATAATCCCGTGTTTATTAAAGTCTAATCTCGTTTTATTCCAGAACACAATGTTGTGGAATTACCACCCCTTCGATTTGTAAAAGAAACTTCAACTTCGGGAAATTTATTAGTAGAAGCTGTCCTAGTGGATGTCTCCGACGACTATTTCCAATCCGCGGAAGAAGATTTGCGAACAGAAGCGGATGTGGACGAAATTTACTCAATAACAAACGAAACGTCTATTACGTCAGAGAAACTGAAAATTGATGTCACTTCTAGTAGTGAGGCCCCAAAGAGACCCCCTCGAAAATCAGACTCGACGAAAAGTGATAACTCTTACTATAGCTTATCTAAAAATCTCTCAATTGACTCTGAAAGGGGCGATGAGAGCTTAGCGGGTGCAGCAGAATTAGACACTGAGTCGTATGGAGACTATGAGAGCGCTTTAAGTTCTGAAAAGAACATCCGGGAACAAGAGAGGGCTTTCCAAGTTGCTGCCATTACAGAGACGACGAGTCTGCCGGGCGACGACGACGACAGACGACCTTTGACTCCCCACACTACACACGAAATCGGTTCCGATCTTAGAGTAAACAGAAGCGAAAGTCAAGAACTGAGAAGGCCTAGAAGGCGTTCTTCTCAAAGCTCTGATGAAATGTCGAAAGACGGCTTTAAGAGAGGTACAATTAAGAAAACTATTAGCTTAGACATGCCAGACACTACATTCCAACGGGATATACAAGGAGAGGAGGGTGATGGACTAGTAACTGATCCAGAAGTAAACGCTGCCAAGCAACTGCAATTGCAGCAAGAGCAAGCGAAGATAATAGAAGATTTGAAAGAAAATTTACAAGAAATTGAAAAAGGGTTACTCTCAGTAGAGGAACAGCTGTTCGTTCAATCGACGCTCAAATCTACATCTGCTGCGGCAAACAGGAGTTTGGAAGTACTGAATAGCATTTCACAACCATTTAAAGATATACAAGTCGTTTTTGAAACACTCAGGGAAAAGCAAGCTTCTCCGGATTTGTCTACGATCGAATTAATTGCCCCACCGATATTTGAGTTACAGAAAAGTCTATCAGTTGTAGAAAAATGCCTTGCAGTGAAGGGTAAAGGACATACATTGATTCAGAGGACTTGTACAAACATCTTAAGTACCACTGGGCCACAAATTAATAAAGGTTTGGATTTGGTCGAGAAAATAACTTTATTAGAAAAAGAGCTAGATTCTACAAAGTCATCTGGGAGAATGACCCCATCCAAAATAATCCAGGAGGTGTGCATTACTATCAAAGAAATGCAAGGTGAACTCTCTAAGGCCGATTTAATGCTAAAAGAATCCTCGCAGAGCGAAAGTCAGGCATCGGCTTCCTCCGATATATCCTCAGAAACATCAAAAGTGAAAGATACTGAAATATTAGATAAATTCTTTGAACCAACTAAAAATTTACAGTTGGCCCTTACTAGTTTGGAAAAAACAATTGCGTACGAAGACAGCGATCAAATGTACAGCGATTTACGTGAGAAGATATTAGAAAAACTAACAGACCCCATAAATTCCTTACATAAAGAACTAAGAGTTTTAGAGAAACAAACTGTTAGATATGCCGGTGAAAAATCTGTCAAACAAGAACTCCGATTAGCGATATTAGATAAAATATTCAATCCTATAAGTGAATTATCAAAAGGGTTAGAAGTAGTAAGAAATCAAGAAAGCGGTGACAGACACTCAGGAGTTGTTAATCTCAACATGTTAGAATCTTTCGCCAATAACACAGAAGACATTATAAATGCCATTAAAAGAATCGAGCAGAATATACCAGTCTCACCCGAATCTAAAGCTGACGTAACTTTATCTTCTCAAGAGGTCGTTGAGGATGTTCTTGAACAAGTCAGTAACATTGTGTTTAATAATATTGCGCAGTCGGTGGACGAACTGCTTCTAAATATAGAAATAGCACAAAAACACGTCACGGATACAATAATTCTGGAAGCACTGCGACAGCTCTCTTCCCTACAAAAGGATTTAGCGACGACGATATCAAAAGTAACGAACGTGAAAACAGAAGCAACGGTTACAGCTTTAGAAAGTTTGAGTGAGCCTATCCAACTATTAAACAATGTGTTGATGAATTGCAGTGAACCAACGGATAAATATATTTTGGAAGACCTCACTTCATTGTTAAACATTCTCGAGGATAGTATTATTGTAGATGAGAGAATTTTGGAAAGTATGGATCTGTGCGTATTGTTCTCTATACTGAAAGGGAGAACATTTGAAGTGAGGGAAAATATAGCTAGTTTAAATGAACACGGATTAATGCCTGAACCCCTAATAGGCGAGCCTGTCGAAGACGAAAATGTTGTAGTCATAGTAGAAGAATCTTCTATAAGTGCAGTTCCAGATGCACTTTTAGATGACACCAAGAAAATACTATCTATTTTAGAAGAACTGTTACAAAAACCTGCTTCAAAGCCTGTCCTAGAACCACTTGTACCAAAAATGCAACCCCTTTCGGAATTAATAACTGACGAATTATTAAAAAAACCTAAAGAAGAATTAACCTTAAATGACAGACTCTCATTGCAGAAACATGTGTTTCCTCTGGAAATGACGGAGGATTTGATTATCGAAGCGTTGGACTTTTTAAGTATTCAGCCTCTTAGCGACGATATAAACGAGACAGGTCGATTATTGGAACATTTACAGTACAACGTAGCCGTGATGCACCAACAAATTCTAGACGAAACACAATTTTTGGAAATAATGGAGCATTACCGCAGACCCAGTTTCGACGACTTAAAACAATGCATCTCAAATGTACAAACGTTACCGATAATATCAGAATCCGATGAGGACGAAGAATTTATTGTTTCACCTGCAATTAACCGTGCTGTGGTCGAAAACATTTCTGAACTGGAAAGATGTCTAGCCACATTCTACGAAGCTGCTATCACTGAAGATGCTGAACCAGTGCCACACGAATTGCTTAGTGTTGCTTCCGAAGTTGTGCAATGTATAGAAAAAGTAAAATACGCCACTCTTCTCGAGGAAAGGGATGAACCACAGTTTACGATAGAAAATATCAAAGAAATAAGACAATTGTCGGTACCGCTTCAAAAACTTAGTGATACTATAACGGATATTCAGAGAATGGAAGAAACCAGAAAAACAGCTTTTACCTCGGTGAAGGAACCCTTGATACAAATTGCTGAACTACTTGAAGGGATTCCAGAAGATTTGAAGATAATATTATTTACGTTGTATGAACCTTTACATAACGCGATTGAAATCGTTTCCTTGGAAACGTTAAACAATGAAATAACGCCGAGTGACTTCACTACCTTAAGTTCTGTTGGAGAGTTATTGAACGAGTTAAGATCCTCCATTCCATTGAAATGTACTGCGGATGAGTTCCCACAAATCGCCGCGCAGTTACATCCGCGAGCAACTTCACTTAAAACTTTACTGGAAAGTATCAGTTCGGAAAATTTGAGGCATATACAATTTTCGTTGACCCAATTTGCTAATACCATGTTGCAAATTATAAATACAAGTACACAACCCAAAAAGGAACGTAAAAAATTTGATATCAAAAATCTGAAAGTACTACAAGAAAATTTGGCGCTTATTTCAAGTTCTCCACAAAAATCACTGTCTCTACCGTTAGTTTCCGAAATTCTGCAATACACGGAAGTTGTAGAAGATGCCACTACTGATATTGCGAATGAAAAAGATCTGGAACAAATCGAAACGATTTTACAAACACTAAATGATATTGTGTCGGTAGCAATAACTCATTCAAATGACGAATTTAGTGCGCAGGAAATAACTGGATTCGTAGGAAAACTGAGAGCAGCTGAGGAAAACTTAAAACTATCTGCTGACCTTAATGAAAAGCTAAATGTACCAACGTCAACACTCTGTGACAATTTAATTCAAATTCCGAAAGAAAGATGTGCTACAATACTAAATGCGATAAGAAAAGACGTTGAAAAGTTAGAATCTCATCCTCAAAGACAATCTTTAACTGCCGTTACTAATGATTTAATAGAAGCGGTCCCAAAAACTCTGGACGATGCACAAATTTGTGATTTAACTGACCTTGAACAGATCGAGCATCTTTTGCGTACTTTTAGAGGAGTACTCTCTAACATAGAGAAACAATCCACAACACCAAAAGAAGAATTAAGTAAAAGTGTTAACGATTTTGATGCCGCTGTTGATAGTATTAATGCAATACCCAGTGTAGCGGGGAAATTGGCAACTGTTTTAATGAAAACCTCTTCAATTTTACAGGACATTATTTTACCTGAACAGAAATTTATTAAAGCCAATTTGGAGGATTTTCAAAAAAACATAGAAACGTTGAGAAGCCTGGATAAAAAATTAATAGCTCAGCAAAATGTTGCCACAGAAATGCAAGACGTGATGACTTCCATTTCCGATAACTTACCAGAAATACAGAAAAGTACAGATGACGTTAATCAAGTCAACAATGTTTTAGAAAGTTACAACCGTATTGTGCAAGATATAATACAGACATCTGAAGCAGGATTACCACTAGACATTGTAAAACCAGAAATTGAAAAGCTAGATCTGAGTATACATACTTCAAGTTTGTCACCAAATACTAAACTGAAGCTGGTGTCAATCTTGGAAAGAGCAAATGCAGCATTAACTGAAATGTGTGGTAAACCACCAGAGAAGGTAGCTATTAAAAATATCGAAAATTTAGAAGAAACATTAAAAGCCTTACAAAACATTCCACAACCTCAACAAGCGTTAATCAAAGAACTACAAGAAACTGCCAATATTATATCGGAAATTGTGCCGGAATTAACAGAAGAAAATATGACTGACGTAAATATAGTGGAAAACATTTTAGAAACATTAAGTGAAATCGTCAAGGAAACTGTTCTTATTCCTGAAACAGAGACGAAAGGTAAGACTGTTGACAAACCAGCTTTAGAAAAACTCGAAGCAACAGTTCAGTCACTAAGTTTATCACCCAACTTGAAATATAAGCTTTCCGAAAACATCCAAAACACAAATGCAGTGTTAAGTAAAGTTGTAGAGGAAAAAGGGGAAGAAACAGCATTGAAAAGAGACTTGGAACATCTTGAGAAAAATATAAACGTCATCAAAGAGCTGGATAACCAACCACCAGCTCTGCAGAACTTTGTCACAGAAATGCAGGAAGTTACTACTTGTATTTCTAATAATTTACCTGAGATGCAACAAGGTTTGGAAGAAACTATTCAAATTCGTTCCCTTTTAGAAAATTATAATACAATTGTGGAAACCATCATTATGTCATCTAAAGCGGAACTACCACCACATATTTCAAAACCAGAAGTTGAAACACTAGATATAACCATACATTCATTAAATTTACCACCAGATGTTAAAGATAGGTTGGTGACGATATTCGAAAAAGCGAATGCAGCTTTACTTGAAATGTGCGAGAAACCATCACAGAGAATAACTATAAAAAGTATCAAGAAGTTAGAGGAAACACTAAAAGCCCTACAAGACATTCCAGAACCCCAACAAGCATTGATAAAAGAACTTCAAGAAACTGTTAATATTATATCAGAAATTGTACCAGAATTAACGGATGAAAACACAGATGACGTAAATATCGTTGAAAATATTTTAGAGACTTTAAATGAAATTGTAAAAGAAACAATAATATCACCAGTGCAACAAAAACCTGTTGATAAACCAACTTTACAAAAACTTGATGTAAAAATTGAGTCGTTAAATTTATCACCTAATTTGAAATACAAACTCTCTGAAAATATACAAAAGACGAATGCAGTGTTAAGCAAAGTAATAGAAGAAAAAGAAACAGAATTGTTATTGAAAAAGGATTTGGAAAATCTTGACAAAAATATAAAGACCATAAAAGAGACGCATAAACAACCACCAGTTCATCAAAAATTTTTAAGAGAAATGCAGGAGGTTACTACATTCATTTCTGATAATTTACCAGAAATACAACGAAATTTGGAAGGTGCTAGTCAAGTCTGTTCCGTTCTAGAAAATTATAACCAAATTGTGGAAAATATCACAAAGACATACGAGGCAGGATTACTACCACAGATTATAGAACCTGAAATCGAAAAGCTAGATATAAGTACACATTCATTAAATTTGTCACCAAACATCAAAGGAAAGTTGGTGACGATATTAGAAAAAGCAAATACAGCACTGCTTGAGATATGTAAGAAACCATCACAGGAAATAACTATAAAGAATATCGAAAACTTAGAAGCAACACTGAAAGCGTTACAGGACATTCCACAACCTCAACAGGCCTTAATCAAAGAACTACAAGAAACTACCAATATTATATCAGAAATTGTACCGGAATTAACAGAACAGAACTTAACTGACGTGAATACAGTAGAAAATATTTTGGAAACCCTAAATGCAGTTGTCAATGAAACAATGATAACTCGTGAAAAAAGGATGGAAGGGAAATCTGTCGACACACCAACTTTACAAGCACTTGACGTAAAAATCGAATCTTTAAATTTATCGCCTAATCTGAAATACAAACTTTCCGAAAATATACATAAGGCAAATGCAGTGTTAAGTAAAGTAGCAGAAGAGAAAAAGGCAGAAACAATATTGAAACATAATTTGGAAAATCTCAATAAAAATATAAAGACCATAAAAGAGCTGGAGTGTCAACTACCAGTTAAGGAAAATTTTGTGACGGAAATACAGGAAGTTGCTACTTCTATTTCTGATAATCTACCCGAAATACAGCAGAATGTCGAAAGCGCCACTCAGATTTGTACCATTTTAGAAAATTATAACCAAATTGTGGGAAACATAGCAAAGACATTTGAAGCAGGATTGCCACCACAAATTACAAAACCTGAAATAGAAAAGTTTGATATAAGCGCACATTCTTTAAATCTATCACCGAATATTAAAAGTAAGTTGGTGACGGTATTAGAAAAAGCGAACGTAGCTTTGACTGAAATGTACGAGAAACCACCACAGAGCATAACTGTCAAAAATATCGAGAATTTAGAAGAAACACTTAAAGCTCTACAGAACATTCCACACCCTCAACAAACTTTAATCAAAGAACTTCAAGAAACTGCCAATATAATATCAGAAATTGTGCCAGAATTAACGGAACAGAATATAGCTGACTTAAATATCGTAGAAAATATTTTAGAAACCTTAAACGAAGTTGTAAAGGAGATAGTAATTAGTCCTAAAAGAGAAACGGAAGAAAAAACGGCTGATAAACCGGCTTTAGAAAAACTTGATGTAACAATTCAATCCCTAACTTTATCGCCCAATCTGAAATATAAACTTTCCGAAAACATACAAAAGACAAACGCGGTGTTAAGTACAGTTATAGAGGAGAAGCGAAAAGAAATGGTACTTAAAAAGGATTTGGAATGTCTTGCAGAAAATATAAACGCATTAAAAGAACTAGATCTAAAATCAACAGTTCAGCAAAATTTCATCACAGAAATGCAGGAAGTTACTACTTCTATTTCCGATAATTTACCTGAAATTCAACAGAACCTGGAAGAGACTGCCCAGGTCTGTGATATTCTGGAAAACTACAACCAGATTGTAAAAGAAATTATTAAAAATTCTGAAGAGGGATTACCAGTGGAAGCTATAAAACCAGAAGTTGAGAAGATAGATATAAATAGACATTCTGCAAATTTGTCACCAAATATGAAAGTTAAGTTGATAACAATATTAGAAAAGGCAAATTCAGCTTTAGTTGAAATGTGTCACAAACCACCACAGAAAATAACTATTAAAAATTTGAAGAATTTGGAGGAAACATTAAAAGCCCTAGAGAACGTTCCCGAAACTCAGCAAGCATTAATCAATGAACTTCAGGAAACTGCGAACATTATATCAGAAATCGTACCGACATTAACAGAACAAAATATCGCCGATGCAAATATCGTGGACAATATTTTAGAAACGTTAACTGAAATTGTAAAAGAAACAATAATTGAACCTGAAATAGAGAAAGGGAATAGTGCTGATAAATCAGCTTTAGAAAAACTTGAAGTAACAGTTCAATCACTAACATTGCCGCCAAATTTAAAATATAAACTTACCGAAAACATACATAAAGCAAATGCAGTGATAAGTAAAGCGATAAATAATAAAGAAGAAGCTACAGGTGTGAAAATGAACTTGGAAAATATAGAAAAAAAAATAATTTCATTACATACTGAACATCCCCTTTTTGATGAGTTACAAGATATTGGCACGGATATGGGAAATGTATTGCCAAAACTGAACGATGAAAGTTCATTGCAAATGGAGCAATTTGAAAAAACTTTGGATGCATTAAATTCTACTTTACCAAAAATCGTGGAAAATTGTAAAACAAAAGAACAGATTGTAGAATGCAAAGCAACTATTGATAATTTAAGTGCGATAATAAAAGCTTTAGAACTACCGCAAGCTATACAACAAAAGTCATTGAAACCCTTTGAAGAAGGAAGCGAAATGTTGAAACAAAAAACAATAGAAAGCATACAAGATAAAAAAGCTATTATCAAGAATTTGGAAAATTTAGAAAAAACTACGGCCTCATTAATAATTTTACCAGAAGTAGTTTTAAAAGAAACATTATTAAAGAGTTTAAACGAAATTGTAAATTTTGCTCAGAATATTACAGTTCCCCCAAATTCATCAGAAACAGAACAGATTGAAACAGTTTTAAAAGAGGTAAATTCCGCCATTAAAACTATAATTGAAGTTACTTCCGAAAATGGACCTCCAGAAAAACTTGACTTATTGATCGAAAATTTAAATTTGACATCTAAATCTTTAGACGCGTCTCCAAATCTACAAGGATTGTTGGAACCTGTAAATCTATTATGTAACACTATCCAGGACACAAGACAAACACTTTTTATTACTTTGTTACAAAACAGTTTGAACAAATTTGCAGAAACATGTAAAAACTCGAAAATAAATAACCATAAAAAGATACTAATCGAAGATCTGAAATATACCCTACCTGTAATTGAAATGGATATGAAGGATATTGGATCGAAAAAGAACAACGAAAATGAGAGATTATTTATTTCCAACGCTTCCCGAGCAATAAACGTAATAAACGACTACGTTACTGAAGATAAAACGAAAAGTACCGATGAAATGATCAAATTTACTTCAGAATTTCTAGAATCAAACAAAATAACAAGTCAAACCGATCTCATAAAACACGTACAACTCCTCCTAAACAAAAGTTTGTACTCTCTAAAAGAGATAAAGAAATGCGAAATGGAAGATAAAAACGTTAAATTCCAAAATATCCAATTAATATCAGAATCTGTCCAAAATCTTGCCAAAACCGTTGCAGCAATTAAGTATAAAAGTGTTAATAAAGACCAAATCCTTAAGTTACAGAAATCGCTATACCCCCTGCAAATAGCAGTGAACGATTTGATTGAACATGATTTAACTGAATGTGACTTCAAATTGCTGGAAAACATCAGTAAAATCTTTGACGATATCGATAGCTTTGTTAGTTCTCAACTAGTAATAAAAGAAAATGTCGTACCGATGCAAAAGGAACAAATCTTGATATTTTTGGACATACTAAATAAAGCTTTGAAAACTGTCGATGAAAAATCTCCCATAAAGAATATAACTAGTTTATTGAACACACTTGTTGAAGTATTACCAGATATTGCCCAACAACTGGAAGTAGCTTACTCGGAAGAAGTCAAGACAGAGATAGCAACAGCAATTTTTGATACGATATTAAACGACATCCAAGATGATATTAACAAAGGCACTGAAGCAGAAGGCGAAACAAAACTGGAACAGTCATTATCAATATTAACTAATAATATGGACAATTACGTTGCTGCTTGCAAACCTTATTTAAATAACGACGAAGTCAACTTAATAGAGAATATAAAGTCTTATGTAAAGTGCGTAAGTGAGAAAAGTTGTTCTGATTTAGCAAATAAAGAGAAGTTGCTAGAGGATCAGCTGCAAGATGGGACATCTCCTGTGATTAAAATTTCCAGAAATATATATGAAATCTGTAAACGAGTTGCAAAGTCCAAATATAGTACAGACACTTCAAAAGACTCAGAAAATAAACTAGAAAAAGAAGAGAAAACACAAGAAACCTCGCAAAAGGGTGGAGTAAGTTTGGGAGAAAAAATAGTGGAAGAAATAAAAGAAATAATTGAAGAAAAACAAATAATACTGGAAACGCAGGCTGAAAGAGCTTTAGAAGAAAAACCAGCTTCTAAGGAAATAGCGATTTTAGAATCGTTACAGACCTTACAGGCATCCGTGTGTTCGATTGAAAAGGAGCACCTTTCAGATGAGAAAAAGGCAGCCTTCAGTGAACTGGAAAAATCAATTTCTGCAGTTGAAAAACTTACAGAAAATAAAATAAATGAAAGTATTTCTCCAACTGACTTTAGTGCTGAAGAGAAATTAGCTGTGGAGGCCGCAAATAACACGTTAACTGAAATAAATAGTTTTATAAAGTCCAGGCAGGTACCTCCAGAAGAAGTTGACGAAGCTCAACAGCCTCCAGTAGAAGCGGTAAAAGTCATGATAGAAGAGCTAAGGCTAGCAGTTGTTGCTGTTCCAAAGGAGTCGAAAATTAAAGAGGTGTTGGAACCACTGGAAGAGACCGTAAAAAATGTTGTTAATTTAATGGAAGATGTCCCAGTAGGGGCAGAATGTATAAACAAAATAAAGACATCTTTAAAATGCATCTCTGAGAACATAAATGCATTAAGACCAAAAGTTCCCAAAGAAAAAAAGGGTACAGTTAGTACCCTTCAGAAAACCGCTTGTAGCTTAGAAAAGTTAATAGAAAACGTGAAAGCTGAAAAATATAAAAATCTTGAATTAATTAACAACTGCTTAGATGAACTGAAAACTACCCTAGAACATTTAAATAAAAACGTAGATAGTAAGGATAAAAAATCAATCGGAAAAGTTAAAGAACTTTATCAACAATTAAACACTTCTATATCCGACCTTCCCAAAGAATCCCTTATGACACGCATAGCGGAGGAACTCAATACTCTGGTCGAGGGAACGGAAGGCCTTTTTATTTCTGAACAGAAGCAGTCCCAAACTATCTGCAAACCGTTACAGGCGGTACAACATTCTTTACAGAATTTGCAGGAATCTTTGTCTACTCTCGAGACAAAACCAAAAACTAAAGCGCAAAAAGTACTAGTAACTGAACTTCAGAGACCTGTCACTACCTTACAATTTATTTCTGGAACGATTCTAGAAGAAAAGAAAGGTAAATTGTCACAGGACGACATACACCTTTTAGAGATGACAAACAACGTAGTAGTTGAAATGAACAATTTAGTTGAAGATTTAAACTGCAAGTCCTCTTCAAAACAAGTGCAAAAGCTCCAACCAACAGCTGAAAATTTAAAAACCCTACTAGCCAGTATAAATCAAGAATCGCATACAAAGGACTTCATAGAACCTATACAAGACATATCTAGAAGTATTGGTAAATTACTGGAGAAAGCTATAAGCACAGAGCAAGAAGAAGCTGCACAGACAAAGGAAACATTGACACGTCTGAAAAGGTCATTATCTCAGTTTGAAACATCTGTGGCTACTTTGTCCTCCCAAAAGGAACCGGAAATACAAAAAGTCATTCTCAACGAACTACAAAAACCTCTACAGGCGATTTTAAGTATGGTATCTGAAACCCCCAGTACAAATATGTCGCCGGAAGAAATTGATAACGTCAACAAATTTATTCAGTCTTTAGAAAAGGTTGAGAAAAGCGAATCTGCAGCTCTTAGTAAAAATTTACTTAGTTTGCGAACGGATTTGTCTGCGATGTTAGTAACTGAAGAAGCCAAAGCAATAGGCACTATAGAACCTGAGGCTGGTTTTGTCGAATCTATTAAAGACCATTTAGAAGAATTGAGTAGAGCCATTGAAGTTACTCATTTGGTATTGGAGCAACCAAAAACTGTTGAAGACGTTACTCCACTACGTACTCTAAATTCGGCTTTAACTGATTTGCTTACGTTTGTTGTAAAAGCGAAACATATATCGGAAGGTAATTTGAATATATTTTCACATTTAGTACAACCTTTAGAAAATTTACAGATTCATCTTTACGACTGTATAGAAGCAAAAGTCGTAGATGACGAAGTTAAATTACTCAATGAAATCGAGAACTGTTTTAGAGAAATCAGCACCAGATACGTAAATGCTGAAGATTTCAAAGATATAAAAATTGAAAACTTTTTAGAATCACTAGATCGATTGCAAAACAAACTGATAAGCGTTTCTATGAGGGCTGTTTTGTCAAAACACTTGGAAGAAGGAAAGTCTATCATTCAACAATTACTACAACCTCTGGAAGTAATATCCAAAGCTATAATCAAAATGCAAAATGACCTATCTAGAAGAATTGCTTTACACAACACCGTACAAAAAATTGTACAAAACTGTACTTCTGTTAATAAGCGATTAGAGAAATCTACATCAGATATTATCGACTATAAATATTTAGAAAAACCTTTTTCTAATATAATAAATGTGCTGAGTGGACCAATAAGTTTAGAATCGCCAAGCGGTACTTTAGACTTGATTGAAAGTGAAGTAAGAACCCTTGCTGAGGAAATTAAACAGCAGTTAAAGGTTGATTCGACATTACCTCTCGACGAATCGTTAAAGAAACTTACAACTGTATGTGCAAATATATTAAACAGTAAGAAAGACGCCATTAATATGAATTTATTATATGATCTTGCTGATTGCATTGCATCCATCGCTAAAGTTTTTCCAACAGAGGAAGTAGTAGAAAGAAAAATTACCGAAGGAGCACAGCAACCATTACTCGAATTAAAAACCGAGATAAGCAACTTGCAAAAGGCAATTGTCAATGTTCAACCAAAAGCAGATAGATGTTTAATTTCTATACTTGATATGCACGAGGCTTTAAGTGACTTGAAGCAGGGACTAGTTTTATCTGAAGTACTGCTCAATGAAACGATATTAGAGTTGCATGAAGACGTCCCAGAAGTAAAATGTCTGAACGCAATAGAAACTTCTTTGAGAAAGATCAAAGGGGTCATAGTATCTGTCCAAACAGCCATTCAAAAACCAGTCTTGGGCGAAATTGAAAAAGCTTCTGCTGCTGAAGCTAGATTGATTTTGAAACAAGCTTTAGAAATAATTCAAACTCAACCTGCAACAAAGCTGTCAATAGAAGAACCATTAAAATGTCTGATTTCTAAAATAGAAGAACTTGAAGGAGGAACTGAGGAGACGAAGCTTGTGGAAGATACAGCAGAGCAAGTAAAAGCAACTGATGTAGCTGTATTAGAAGAACAAGTAGCTGAAACAGAAAAGCATGTAATAGATACAGCAGAACAAGTAAAAGCAACTGATGTATCTGTATTAGAAGAACAAGCAGCTGAAATACAAAAGCATGTAGAAGATGCAGCAGAACAAGTAAAAACAACTGATGTAGCTGTATTAGAAGAACAAGTGGCTGAAATACAAAAGCATGTAGAAGATGCAGCAGAACAAGTAAAAACAACTGATGTAGCTGTATTAGAAGAACAAGTGGCTGAAATACAAAAGCATGTAGAAGATGCAGCAGAACAAGTAAAAGCAACTGCTGTAGCTGTATTAGAAGAACAAGTAGCTGAAATAGAAACGCATGTAGAAGATGCAGCAGAACAAGTAAAAGCAACTGCTGTAGCTGTATTAGAAGAACAAGTAGCTGAAATAGAAACGCATGTAGATGATTCAGCAGAACAAGTAAAAGCTACTGATGTAGCTGTAATAGAAGAACAAGTAGCTGAAATAGAAAAGCATAATATAGATGATTCAGCAGAACAAGTAAAATCAACTGATGTAGCTGTATTAGAAGAACAAGTAGCTGAAATACAAAAGCATGTAGACGATGCAGCAGAACAAGTAAAAGCAACTGATGTAGCTCTATTAGAAGAACAAATAGCTGAAACAGGAAAACATGTAGAAGATACAGTAGACCAAGTAAAAGCAACTGATGTAGCTGTATCAGAAGAACAAGTAGCTGAAATACAAAAGCATAATATAGATGATTCAGCAGAACAAGTAAAATCAACTGATGTAGCTGTATTAGAAGAACAAATAGCTGAAACAGGAAAACATGTAGAAGATACAGTAGACCAAGTAAAAGCAACTGATGTAGCTGTATTAGAAGAACAAGTAGCTGAAATACAAAAGCATGTAGACGATGCAGCAGAACAAGTAAAAGCAACTGATGTAGCTGTGTTAGAAGAACAAATAGCTGAAATAGAAAAATTACTTAATGAAATAAGCGATTTTCAAACTATTGTCAGAGAGAATACAAATCAGGAAATATATAGTATGGCAATAGTTGGGGATGCCATTGAACCACTAAAGTTTTTATATGAATCCTTAAAGAACTTGATACAAATTGTTACAAAATCTACAGAAACTGATTTTCAAGCAAAAACCTGCGAGGAACTAACAACAGAAAGTAAACTTTTCAACAATTTCGCAACGACCTTAGCAAAGTTAAAGGAAGTACGTGAAATAGAAACAATGAAATTAGAAAAAAGATCTTTAATAGAAGTCATTATAGCACTTATCAAAAGTACCGAAGTCATTATCGAAAAATCGAAAAGTGATAAGCTGCTGGAATGCATATGCGAACCTCTAAAATTTTTGCTAATGACTTTAGATAACCTCAACAAAGAACTCGTCAAGTACGACAAAATCTTAGAGCAGAATAAGGAAGACGTTATTACTGTGAAGAGAGTCAAAGAATACTTGTTAAAATTAAATGAGAGGTTGGAAGAACTTAAAACTGAAAAGCCTTTGCCAACACAGCAACAACAACTACTATATGTAATCCAAGCCGAAACGCCTTTACCTGAAATAACAAAGGAAATTCAGAATTTGGAAAACCGTTTATTGACAGAAACAACCTCAAACTTATCACCTGGTGATAGAGAAATATTATCTCCATTGCAAGAACTGTTACAGCAATACTTAATTATCATTGAAAATATTAAAGATGTAACGATGCAACCAGAATTATTGGAAAAGCTGAAGCCTAAAATGAGAGAATCAGTTTCGTCTTTAAAACAATTTTTAGAAAAATGTACTCAAAAATGTATTGATACAAAAGCATTACCTTCGTTGACGAACCCACTTCGAATTCTTTCTGGAACAGCAGAAGAAATAGAAAAAATTTTGATGCAATCGGAAGAAGTACAAGAAGTTCCGGTAATAACTGACATAACCAAACAGATTTCACTTATAAAGTATGATTTACATAGGTTGCGATCTGAAATTGAAAAACGAAATTTACCATCAGAAACAAGAATACTATCTGTAGTTCAAATAAATGAACCTTTAGAGTGTCTTTTATCTTCAATATTAGAGATAACTGATGAAGTAAAACGTAACATATCACCAGAACAGGTAGAGGTATTAATATCTTTGGAAAGGGCGTTAAAAAAATTGTCTGAAGTTGTGAAAAGTTGTAATGATGTTATTGCTCATGATGAGTCAATAACTAATTTAAAGCCTAAGATTATGGGTGCCCTCTCTGGGTTGAAAGAACAGATTGAAATAACAATGCAAATCGATCTTGGTTCACTTCAATCTTTAAAATCTTCTTTAAGTGACTTTGCAACAACTGTATCCCAGGTAGTAGATACCTTAACGAAACTAGATGAAAAACCTAAACGTTTTGATGTTTCTGCAATTAAGGAATTGGCAACTTCTGTGTCCAAGTTAAGCAGCGAAATCCAACAATTTAAAATGAAAACCCAAGAACAAGCTTTGTCACCTCAAACAGGAGTTGCTTCGATAAACAAAATAAGTGAAGCTTTGTCCGTACTTTCTGATGCGACTTTAAATATCGAGAACACTGTGCTTGATGAAGCGATTCCAGATATATCAGAAGAACAAGCAAAAGAATTGACATCTTTATCTGAACCATTGGAAAAGTTGTCGAAAATAGTTATTGATTGCAGAACTGCTATTAATCAACCAGAGATTTTACAGCAACATGATCCTGATATAAACAAAGCTGTAATTGCCCTGAAACAATCCCTTGATAAAATTACAGTTACGGTTTCTACATCAAAATCCTTAGAATCTTTAATAAAACCTATACAAGCGTTCACTGAATGCATTTTAGACGTTGAAAAGTCTCTGAGTCGAATGGAAGACATAGGAAACCGATTAGATATATCTGCTGTGAGAGAAATACTTATTCCGTTAAGAGTGTTAAATGATGAAATTCAAAATTTAAATACTAAAATCCAGGAGTCGGGGCCAACTCCCCAAACGGGAACTCTTTCTATTGTTAATATCAGTAATCCTCTACTTCTGCTTTCATTAGCGATTTTAGATGTAGAACATCTGCTTACTGAGGAAAGTGTCCAGGACATACTACCGGAACAGGCAGATGTAGTGAAAAGTTTGATCGAACCTCTGCAAAAGTTATCAAAGTTAGTTGTAAATTGTAAAGAAAGTTTAGGAAATTCGGAGGTATTGGAAAAACACAAGAAGGAAATTAGTAAAGCTGCAGTTGTAATAAAACAACAAATTGAAGTTGTTGTACAAGCAATAGCAGAGAGTAAAAGTCTACAACTTATAGTAAATCCTCTTGAACAAATTGCAGTGGTAATTTCTCAAAATCTAGAACAAAAAGAGGGGGCAAAACCAGAACGACCAGACCTTAAAGCACTGAAAGCAATTGTCAGTCCACTGTTAAACTTAAAGGCTGAGATCCAGCAAATTACACAAGAAAAACTTGGAGAATCTGCTCAACAAGGTGTATTAGGTTTGATAACAATTAACGAGCCTTTATCAGACCTTATTGCCAAAATATCAGAAGTAGAAGAACAGATAAATAAAGAAGAAACTAGTGATATACCAGAACAACCATCGGAGAGTATCACAGCTCTAATTGAACCCATTGAAAAACTTTCAAAAGTTATCGTTGGCATAAGAGAAGCTCCCTTGACTCCGGAAGTGGTAGAAAAGCAGAATGAAGAAATACACAAATCATCTCTTGCTCTGAAAGAACAATTAGAGAGGACTATAACTCAAATACCAGAAGCTAAATCGTTGCAACAAATAGCAGTTCCACTTCAATCGCTTTCGGCAGCGCTTTCAGAGATGGACGATCAATTGAAAGAAGCTGGTAAACAAAATTTGGAAGGAGAGACTAAAAAGTCTGAACGTTTCGACCTTACCGCATTAAAGGAGATAGCGACACCAATTTTGAATTTGAAAGACGAAATTCAAAGCCTGAAAGCCGTTTCACAAGAATTTTCACCGCAACAAGGCATTTTAGGAATCATGGAAATTAATGAACCTGTAGCGTTGCTCTCTGCTTCTATTGTGGAGATTGAAAAGAGTATAAATGAGGTTGAGGTGCAAGACATATCAGCACAACAAGCGCAAATTGTAACTGACATCAAAGAGCCCATCGAGAAAATGTCAAAACTTGTTATAGACATTAGGGAAGTCATTTCAGTGCCAGAGGTAATCGAAGTAAAGAAGCCCGAGATTCTAAATGCAGTATTGGCACTAAAGAAGAGTATAGAAAGAATTGTGCAGTGTATTCCAGAAGCAGAATCTCTGCAATTACTAACTGTACCGCTCCAAGCATTGTCAACGGCTATTTTGACAATTGAAGCTAAATCCAAAATTAGTAAGAAGGAAACACGACGCGATGTTTCTTTTGTAAAAGTTATAGCAGAACCAGTTACGGTTTTGTTGGACGAGACAGAACAACTTCGAACAATGCTACAGGACCTTGGTAAATCACAGCAAGGAGTTTTATCAATTATTGAAATAAATGAACCTTTATTAGCCCTTAAAGAGTCGCTTTCAAATGTAGAGGGTATATCCAAAGAAGGGCTTGAGGATATATCACCTATTGAGTCTGAAGTGGCCAATGTCTTGATAGAACCATTGCAACAAATATTAAATATTACTGTACTTAGTAAGGAAGCCATAACCGTCCCAGAATTATTGGAAAAACAGAAACCTGAAATGAAGAAATCTGTATCAATGTTGAAGCAATGCATAGATACATTTTTGCAAGGAATTCCTGAAACTAAAAGTATAGATATTTTAAAACTTCCTCTCGCTTCACTTTCGGCAACTTTATCGAACATTGAAACGGTTCTAGAGGAGAAGATACGCTTGGACGTTTCCGCCTTGAAAGAAATAGCATCCCCGATATTAAAATTGAAGAATGAAATACAAAATCTTCGCGTTTCCCAAGAGTTAACATCCCCACAGCAAGGTATATTAGGAACAATTGATATTGTAGAACCCTTATCTTTACTATCATCTTCTGTAGAGGAGATTCAAAATAGGTTAAGTGGTGAAGAAATTCAAGATATAACTAAAGAACAAGCGCAAACTATAACAGAACTAAAAGAGCCAATTGAAAAAATGTCAAAGCTTATAGTGGAGATTAAAGAAGCTGCTTCAGTTCCCGAAATAACTGATGTGAAGAAACCTGAGATTCAAAAGGCTGCAGCTGCGTTGAAGCAACAAATAGAGAAAATTGAACAAATTGCTTCTGACGCCAAATCTATACAATCATTGACAACACCTCTTCAAGTTCTCTCAGCTGCAATTTCAACACTCGAAGAGTCCAAAGTAGATGAGAAGGAAATTCAGAAATTTGTTATGGCCATTAAAAAGTTAACAATGCCAGTTACTACGTTGGTAGAAGGAATAAATCTGCTTCAAATTAAAATGCAAAACCTTGCTCTTCCTCAACAGGGAGTCTTATCTATTGCTGAAATAAATGAACCATTGCAGTTACTTAAAGATTCTCTTTTAACTGTTGAAACTATTTCTGCAGAAGATATTGGTGAAATACCTTCGATTCAAGATGAAGGAGCAAACACTTTGGTGGAGTCACTCCAACAATTAGCAAATGTTGTTGTAATTAGTACGGAAGCTGCAGAAAGTCGAGAATTATTAGAAAACCTGAAGCCTAAAATGAAGCAAGTTATATCTGCCTTGAAACAACAAATAGAAAAAGTTGTGCTCGATATCCCAACGTGCAAAGCTTTGGAAATCGTGAAACCAAATTTCGAAACACTTTCCGCAAAGTTGACCAATATAGAGACGGTTTTGGAAGAGAGTGTTAAACAGTCGCAACGTTTAGATATATCTGCCTTACAAGAAATAGCAAAACCTATTTTGAAATTAAAAGACGAAATGCAAAATTTACAAATTATTTCACAAGAACAAGCGCTAATTCCTCAGCAAGGCGTGTTGGGAGTTATGGAAATTAATAAACCTCTAGCTTCACTCTCCGAGTCTATTGCGGAGGTACAAAAGGTCATATCTGACGAAGTTGGTGATATTTCCACACAGCAAGCAGAAATAGTAACAAATCTAACGCAGCCAATTGAGAAGATGTTAAAACTTGTTGTAGAGATCAAAGAAGTTATTTTAGTTCCAAAATTAATAGAAGAGAAAACTCCTGAGTTGAGAAGTGCTACTCTCGCAGTAAAGGAAAAAATAGAGGAAATTATACAACTTATCCCGGAAACAAAATCTATTCAGTCGCTGCAAACTCCATTAAAAGCTCTCTCGGCAGCAATAGCAGTAATTGTTCAAAAACCAGCCCAGGAAAATACAGACATTTTAATTCCGCCATTAGTGATAAATGAATTTCTTGGACCAGTTAGTGAATTATCAAACGAAATAAACATGCTGCATCAAAGAGTACAAGAATTAGCTTTACCCCAACAAGGGGTTTTATCTATAATTAAAACAAAAGAGATTTTATCGTTGCTTAAAGCTTCAATAGAAAATATTCCGAAGGAAATCCTTGAGGATATGCCTCCCGCAGAAATAGAAATATTAAATACTTTAATAGAACCAGTTAAACAATTATTAATTGATGTGGCAATTAGTAAAGAAGTTATTACAAATCCTGAATTACTGGAAAAACAAAAGTCGGAAATGAAAACATCAGTAACTGCCTTGAAGCAACACCTTGAACATGTTATACTACATATCCCAGAAAGTAAATTTGTAGAAAATTTAAATCCCGTTTTCGCATCTCTGTCAGCAGAACTAGCTCAAATAGAACAAATATTAGAAGAGACTGTGGCAAAACCGAAACGTTTAGATTTTGATGCCTTAAGTGAAATAATACAACCTATATCACACTTGACACAGGAATTACAAAACCTGAAAGCAGTTTTTCAAGATTTGACATCGCCGCAACAAAGTGTATTGGGAGTTGTTGAAATTAATGAACCTTTGTCTTTATTATCTGCTTCCATTTCGGAGATCGAAAAAAATTTAAATGAAAAAACGGCGGATGATATATCTGTTCAACAAGCACAAGTCATAAAAGATCTGGCTACGCCCATTGAAGAAATATCAAAACTTGTTGTTGACATTAAACAGACCGTTTCAGTTGCTGAAATAGCAGAAAAGAAGAAACCGGAATTACAAAAGGCGACTTTAGCTATGAAGGAACAAATAGTAAATATTATTAATATTATCCCTGAAACAAAATCTATACAAGCATTGCTTCAACCGCTGCAAGCTGTATCCGCAGCGGTTTCATCTGTAGAAAAACAATGGGAAGAACCTGAACAGCAAATTACGCAGGCTATTCCATGCGCGATAGCATCACCGCTCACACATTTAATTGAGGAAATAAATCAGCTTCAAATGAAGGTACATCAACTAGCTTTACCTCAACAAGGGGTGGTATCTATTGTTGAATTAAATAAGCCGTTATTGTTGCTCAAAGAATCTGTTTTGAACATCGAATGTAGTTCCAAGGAAGACTTTACTGATGTAGTAAATGTTCAAGAAGAAATAGCAAGTATCCTAGTAGAGCCATTACAACTACTATTGAATGTTGTAGTGAATACTAATAAATCTATCACTACTCCAGATCTATTAGAAAACATAAAACCAGAAATGAGACAATCTGTATCCACTTTGAAGCAACAAATTGAAATTGTACTACAAAAAATTCCAGAAAAGAAAAATATAGAGGCATTGAAACTTTCTATGACTACTCTATCAACAGAATTGTCAAATATAGAACAGATGCTGGAGGTGGAGGAGAAACCAAAACGTCTAGATATTTCTGTTTTAAAAGAAATAGCAAAACCAATTTCAAACTTACAAAACGAGGTACAAAACTTGAAAGTTATATCTCAGGAACTGAACGTGTCACCACAGCAAGGTGTTTTAGGAATTATCGATGTTAGTGACTCGTTATCTTTAGTTTCGGCTACTATATCACAGATACAGGACGCCATATTTGACGAAACAGTTGATATAACTCCACAACAAGCTAAAGTCATAAGAGATCTCACTGAACCAATTGAAAGAATGTCGAAACTTATCGTAGAATATAAAGAAGTCATTTCAGTGCCAAAAATAGCGGAAGAGAAAAAACCACAACTGCAAAGTGCCGCTCTTGCGGTAAAAGAGAAAATACAGAGAATTGTGCAATTAATTCCTGAAACAAAATCTATACAATTCTTGATGATACCACTTCAGTCTCTTTCTGCAGCACTGACACTAATTGAGACACAGACTAAAATTGATGGTAAAAAGTTGAAGTTCACAGAAATTCTAGAACCAGTTTTAAAGCTAGGTCATGGTCTGAATCAGCTAGAATTAGAAATAAAAAAACTTGGATTGCCCCGAGAAGGTGTTTTAAATATTACGAGACTCAATGGGCCTTTACTTTTGCTGAAAGAATCACTTCATGGTGTTGCGGATGTTTCTGAAATAATAAGTGAGGCTTTAAATGCCTTAAAGGAACCTTTACAATCAGTATCTAATATTGTGAACATCATGAAAGGAGACGTTATAAAACCAGAACAATTAAATATCCACAGATCAAATATAAAGCCACATTTGTCTCAGTTGAAGCAACTTACGGAAAAAATCATTGACGAGATAGGTAGTGCAAAATCCTTAGACAAGTTAAAAGATGCATTTACTTCTCTTTTGGCAGCTCTTTCGGATTTAGAACAAATATTAGAGAGAGAAGACAAGAAGGTATCAGATACCTCTGTTAACAAGGAACTTATTCAACCAATAGCGAATTTGAAATTAGAGATAGAGAACCTCAAGGAAATTACTCAAAACCTTACATCATCACCACAACAGGGAGTATTAAGCACAGCCGAAATTAGCGAATCTTTATCCTTGCTGTCTTCTTCCGTGTCAGAAATAGAAAAAGCAGTACATGCGACGCAAATTGAACCTACATCGATACAAGAAACAGAAGCATCAGCAGTGCTTGTAGAACCAATCGAAAAATTATCAAAAATAGTTGTGGGTATAAAAGAGAGTATTTTAAATCCACAAATAGTTGAACAACAACAATCTTCACTGCAACAAGCTACTCTTGCGGTACAACAACAAATAGAAGAGATTGCTCAGTTAACTCCAGAGGCCAAATCTGTAAAGTTACTGGAAATGCCACTTCAGTCTCTTTCAGCAACAATTGCACTAATAAAAGAAAAGCAAGCCCGACAAGACATATATGCTGTGAGACAAATCTCAGGTCCGGTTTTAAAATTAACGGATGAAGTCAATCAATTACAAATAAAGATGCAAGAATTAGCTGTACCCAAAACTGGTGTATTGACCATAGTTGCAATTAATGAAACCTTACAATCGCTTAAATCATCACTTTCAACTGTAGAAAATCTTAATATAGAAGAAAGCGACGATATTTCACCGATCCAGAAAGAAGTAGTAACTACTTTAATAGAACCATTACAGAAATTACAGGGTGTGATTGTATTGAGCAACGAAATAATTACTAACCCCGATTTGTTGGACAAAGAGAAAAGTGAAATGAAATCATCTGTTTCTGCACTGAAGCAACAAATAGAGAAAATTCTACAAGATGTTCCTGAAAGTAAAGCAATTGGGATTTTAAAACCTGATTTCACCTCACTTGTAGCGAAATTAATGGAAGTGGAGCAATCCTTGGAACAGAAGGTCGACCAATCCGAACGTTTAGATATATCCGTGTTACAGAACATAGCCAAACCGATTTCAATATTGAAGGATGAAATAGAAAGTTTAAAAATCATATCACAAGATTTAAAAGTATCGCCACAAAGAGCTGATTTAAACGTTATTGAAATAAGTGAACCTTTATCTCTACTTTCTGCTTCAATTTCTCAAATACCAAGCAGTATAGATGAAACAGTCCAGGATATATCTGCACAACAGGCTCAAATTCTTTCAGATTTTAAGCAGCCAATTGAAAAACTTTCAAAACTTGTTATAAATATTAAAGAAACCATGTCAGTTCCCGAGAGAGTGCCCGAAAGTAAATCCGATATGAAAACAGCTGTACGGGCGTTAAAAGAACATATAGATATCATTGTGCAATGTACTTCTGAAGCGAAATCTATACAAGCATTGATTGTGCCACTTCAAGCTCTTTCAGCAGCGATGTCAGTGTTGGAAAAAGAACCTAAACCTGATAAAAGTGAAGGACGACGGGACATACTGTTGATTAAAGAAATATCCAAACCAGTCTCTGCTTTGTCAGAGGAGATAAATCTTGTTCATGCAAAAATTCAACATCTTGCGCTATCTCAACAAGGAGTTTTGTCTATAACTGAAATAAATGAGCCATTGTTACTACTTAAAACTTCCCTTTTGGATGCAGAAAATATCTGCAAAGAAAATCTTGAAGATATATCAGTTAATCAAGCTGAACTGGCAAATACTTTAGTGGACCCATTACAGAAATTGCTAAGCGTTACAGTTTTTATTAAGGAAGTTATTAATAGTCCCGAGTTGTTAGAACAACAAAGGCCTGCTATGAAAAAAACTATTTCTCTAGTAAAGCAACATATAGAAAAAGTCATGCAGGAAACTCCAGAACACAAATGTATAGAGATTCTAAAAACTGCTCTTGTACCTCTCTCAGCGTCGTTAACACATGTAGAACAAAATTTGAATCAGACTGTTGATGGAAAGAAATCTGCATTAAAAGAAATCGCTGAACCAATAACGAATCTAAAAAAGGAGATTCACAATCTTCAAATAACTTTGCAGGAGTCTCCGCAGCAGGGTGTTGCAGATACCATTGGAATTATCGAGCCGCTGTCTTTACTTTCCGCTTCAGTTTTAGAGATAGAAAAGGCAATAAATGAGGGAGACATTCAAAGCATACCAGCGGAACAACAAGAAACAGTTACAGTTCTTATAGAACCTATTAAAAAATTATCAAAAGTTGTTGTTAGCATAAAAGAAGGCGTTTTAACATCGCAAGTAGCGGAAAAACAGACGCCAGAAATGCACAAGGCTGTTCTTGCGTTAAAAGAGCAGATAGAGAAGATTGTGTATTCTACTCCAAAACTTCAGTCGCTACAACTACTGGCTACGCCTCTCAAAACTCTCTCTGCGGTAATTTCTCTTATAGAGAATCTCTCTCAAAAAGAGACAAGAAAAATTCGCGAACGCATTCTTACGAAACCAGCAGAAACAATTTCAAATTTAAAAAAAGGATTAGAAGAACTCCATCTAAAAATTCAAGACCTTGCGGTACCTCAAAAAGGAGTCTTGTCTGTTACAGAAATTAAAGAACCATTGTCGTTACTAGAAACTGCAGTATTAAAGATAGAAGAAACTGTTCAAGAACTAGCTCCTACTGATTCCGAATATATATTTGGATTAATACAACCGTTATCGGAAATTTTAAAAGTTGTCGTTACGAGTAACGATGCATTATCTAAGCCAGAAATACTGGAGCTGCAAAGACCTGAATTGAAAAAAGCATTCATTTCTTTAAAACAGAAAACAGATGAATTGCAGAAAATTGCGGATGTTAAAGTTGTAGATTTGCTCATACCTCCTCTTCAGTCACTTTCATCAGCTATTACGCAAATAGAAGAATCTTTAAAAGAATCTGAAGCACCACCAGTAAAAGAAAAAGCCTCCTCTTGTGAAAGAAAGGATTTAATTCGACTAGATGTTTCGTCAATGAAAGAATTATCACCACCCTTAGCTATTTTAGGCGATGCCTTAACTCAACTTAAAATAAAAGCCCAAGGTACTTCTGTGGCATTAGATAAGGGCGTTTTATCTGTAATTGAAATAAATGAACCTCTTTCTTTGGCAACAACTTCAGTTTCACAAATTCTAAACCAAGTACACGAAGAAAAAACTCAAGATTTATCACAGCATCAGTCCGAATTAATTATTGCTTTAATCGAGCCACTAAAAAGCCTTACTAAAGAAGTGGTGGATTGTACTGAAATTGTCGAAGCACCAGATAAATTAGATAAACAACGAAATAAGATGAAAAAAGTTGTACTTGACTTTAAACAAATTTTAGAGCAGATACCACCAGCTATAATTGGAGCACTGACTATTCAACCATTGGTAAATCCCATAGAAAAGCTATTGATAACGATTTCTAATATTGAGAAAAATTTGGAGGCGAAAAAATCTGACAGGACTGATATTTCTGCTGTAAAGGAAATAACAAGCTCAGTTTCTACCTTGAGAGATTCATTAAATCAAATGAAAATTAAAGTAAAAGAAATTGGTAAGCCCTTGGAAGGTGCATCTGTCATTAAATTGGATGAATGTGTATCTTTTCTTAACATCTCCCTATCTGAAATTCAAAAGATACCTATTGAGGAAACTGCACAGGATATTTTACCTGAGCAGGCTAAAGAAATTCTTGATCTAGTTAAACCTATAAATAAATTATCAACCGTTATTGTGGATTCTACACTTGCATCACAACCAAATCAACCGCAAACGATTGCAGCTATTGTTAACCTACAAGATCAAATCAAAAATGTAATACAAATTAAATCTAAATCTAAACACATGAAATCTGTAAAATCTTCCGTACAATCACTGTCGAAAGCTGTAACGCACTTAGAAGAATTCTTAAATGTTGTAAAACCTCAACGACTAGACATAACTGCTATCAAGGAAATAACAGAACCAATCTTAAAACTGAAGGATGAGATTTCCCAAATCAAAGACAAATCCCAAGAACTAAAATTGGAACAAAAAGGACTATTAGTCGTCACGGAAATCTATGAGCCCTTAGAAATGTTACAGTCATCGATTTTTAATATCGAAAATTCTACTTCTGATGAAATCCCAGATATATCATCTATTCATGCAGACACAATAAGAAGTTTGACCGAACCGTTGAAACAATTTAGAGAACTAGTTTCCGCTACTAAAGGACTGTTACCAAAATCAGAACTTTTAGATCAACAGGTACCACCAGCGAAGGAGGTAATGCATGCTTTGAAGAAGCAAATCCAGAAGGCTTTAGAAGTTTGCCCCCAAAACATGTCAGTACATTTACTACAGGCCCCCCTTCAGGCTCTTTCATCGTCTATAGAACATATGGAGAGTTCCTTAGAAGAAGCAGATAGAAAGTTAGAGCGATTAGACCTTTCAACTTTGAAGGCATTAGAAAAACCATTTGAACATTTAAAGAATGAGATCAGTCAAATTTCCATGAAGACTGAGACGCTGCATTCATCACCTCAAAAAGGAGTACTGTCTGTAACTGAAATTAAAGAACCTTTATTACTGGTGTGTAATGCTTTAGAAGGTGCTGAAAGAATAATTATGGAAGATAAAACTGAAGATATCACACCACAACAGGCAGAAGTATTAAACGCATTAATCAAACCTGTTCAAAGAATGCTAAAAATTGTTGTAGATAATAAAGAATTTATTTCAAAGCCGGAACTATTGACAAAACAGAAACCAAAAGTAAAAAAGGCTATATCTGCCTTAAAACAAAATATAGAAAAGGTTACACTTGAGTGCGCAGAAGCCGATTCCATAAAACCAGTTGTAAAATCCCTTGAAGTTCTATCTGGAGCTATTTTAGTTGCAGTGAAAAGCTTAGACAGTGAAGAGAAAGTGAAGGAACGTCTTGATATCAGCGCTATAAAGAAGATCGAAGTACCAATCACTGTCTTAAAAGGGGAATTAATTGATCTGAGTGAAAAAATAACGAATCTTGCTAGCGCACCTAACAAGGCAATCATATCCCTAACTCAAATTGCCCAGCCTTTATCAGAACTTCTTACCGCAGTTGTAGATGCACGAAATAAAATTTCTAAAGAAAACGTACAGGATATATCACCCAAACAGGAAGAGACATTTGTTACTATAACAGAACCACTGCAGAAGTTATCAGAGTTAGTAGTGACTACCAAAAATACTTTAACTAAGCCGGAAGTATTTGAAAGTAATAAACCTGAAGCAAAACATGCTGTCTCTTCATTGAAGACACATATTGAGAAAGTTATCCTGATACTACCAGAAACTATAGCTTTTCAGACATTAATAAATCCTCTCGCTGCTCTCTCAGCGAGTATCGATCAATTCGAAAAATCTTTAGAGGAAGAACAAGTACATCTGGAGGGCACTACTGTTGAAGAAATAGTGAAATCTATTTCGATTCTATCAAACGAAGCGGATAAGCTTCACAATGTATCACAACAACTACATGTCACGCCTAATGAAGAGAAAATGTTATCTATAATTCAAGTAAATGAACCATTATTGTCGTTAAAGGATTCACTTTTAACTTATGAGAACATTGCAAAAGATACCAAAGCAAGAGAGACGTTGGAAGAACTAGTTAAATTGAACGAGCCAATACAAAAGGTTACGGAAAATATCGTCCTTATTACAGAAAATGTTTCGGAGCCAGAAATTTTATTAGAACAGAAACCTAAAATGAAACAATCTCTAAGTGACTTGAAACAACATATCGATACAATAACGCAAAAAATACCTGATCCTAATTTCGTGACTATACTCAATAATCCCCTGCAAAAGTTTTCGGCTACACTAGAGAACGTATTGAAATGTTTAGAAGCTTCCGATAAAATTGTGAAACCAGTTCATGGTATAAAGCAAATAGTCGAGTCGGTAACAAATTTGAAAACGGGAATACAACAGTTGCAAGTAAAGGTACAAGATATGCCGTCTCCACAAAAGGGAGATTTGTCAATTGCTGACACAAACAAATCCTTATCCGAACTTTATGCATCGGTTTCTGAAGTCGAAACTGTTGCCTCAGAGTTGACAGCACAAGATTTACCTCCTACATATTCCGAGGCAATTGGTAAATTGGTAAGTCCTCTAGAAAAGCTGACCAAACTAGTGGTTGAAAATAATCAAGCCATTGTGAAACCACATATATTGGAACAACAGAAACCTGAAATAAAGAAAGCTGTCGCTGCGATAAAGCAGGAAATAGATAAAATTGTTCAGACTACTCCGGAGCCTCAATCGTTACAAATATTGACAAAGTGGCTACAGACACTTTCAGCCAAGGTAGAAAATATAGAAGCAATTTACGAGGAACTCATTCAAAAGAAATTAAATATTTTTGCTATAAAAGAGCTACCTAAGCCGATATTAAATTTAAAACAACAAATAGAACAACTTTCGTCTAAAGTCAAAGAAATGAAAATTTTACCGCAAAAGGGGGTGCTGACTGTCATAGACTTAAATGAACCTTTGAAATTATTGTATTCCTCAGTTTCAACTCTGCAATCCATTGAAGAACCTGTTGACGATATTACAGCAGATCAAGCGGAAGCACTGACTTCACTGATAGAACCGCTTAATAAAGTAAGTGATGCAGTCGCTAGTACCCAAGAAGTTATAACATCTGTTCAGTCACTTCAAAAACAAGAGCCTGATATGAAAATTGCTATATCTTCGCTGAAGCAACAAATAGAAAATGTTATACAAAAAACTGTGGATGCCAAATCAGTCGAAAAACTTTTACCACCACTACAAAGTGTTTTAGTGGTAGCATCGTCTGTAGAAAAATCTTTGCAATCTGTGCAGAGGCAAGACAATGCAGCTATAAAAGAAATGGCAAAGATAGTAATGCATCTACAGAGCGAGGTAGCACAATTAGAAACGCAAATCAAAGATGTGAGTCCTTCGTCACATAACGCGGTGTTATCCGTTATAGAAATTAGGGAGCCTTTGTCGTTACTTAGTGCTTCCATCTCAGAACTAGAGAGAGTAGATCTTCAAGAACCTGTTCAAGATCTATCTATAGAACAAACAAACCTATTACTAGATTTATCTAAGTCTTTAGATAAGTTATCCACTATTGTGGTAAATAGTAAGGAAACATTAAGAAAACCAACAGTACTAGAACTCCAGAAAGCAGAGTTGCAGATTGCTGCTTCTGCAATAAAACAACATATAGGCAAAGTTTTGCTAGAAGCATCAAAAGCAATACCGGTAAAGAAGCTAGAGATACCTCTTACTGCTCTTTCTGCAGCTATTGAACGGGTAACAGGTGTTTTAGAAGCAGACGAAGAAAAATTGAACCAGAAAATTGTCTTATTCTCTAACCTTGATGGTGTTCATACTTCTCTGAAGAACTTAAAACGGAATTTGGAACATTTATTGAAAAAACGTGGTCGCGCACCTCTATTAAATAAATCTATAATAGGATCTGCTCTTGATATAAGCGAGTTCATTACTTCTGCTTGTGAAGTAATCAATGCTGTCAAGAATAAAACAGATATAGATACAGGCCCATCTGATTTGTGTGATAATTTGAAGACATTTGAATTAACTTTAAATACTCTTGATGCTGTAATAGCTGAGTTAGCTGAATCCAAAGTAATTTTCCAAAATGATACTATAGTAAATAACCTAGCAATAGCAATTTCTACGTTTGAGAAGTTAACTGGATATTTTACACCAATAAAGTGCTATTCCGACTTTGCTCTCCCGCTAAATGGAATTTTGGTTCAATGCAGAGAAATGTTGAAACGCTTCAACGAACTAAAAACCACCGTATTGGATTTAAACACAATTAAATTACCTCTCTGCGCATTGTACGAAGGAATTAAACTTCTTAACTTTGAAGCTACCTGTGATAAAGATCAAAATTTTGAAGAATTCTGCTTGTTACATGAACCGCTATTTGAAGTTATAGACATTTTAAGCAGAGGCGAAATTGATGCAGACAGCATTAATAATTTGAAGAATATAATTGAGCCTATTACAAAATTCTCATCCGCTGTTAATACTGTTGGTAGTATTGATAACAAGAACAAACTGCAAAATGTAAAATTGGATATGATTAAACATCTACAAAACTTAAAAAATAGTATAGATAATACAACTGTCCTATTTGTAAGTTCGAAAGACAACGCTCGTGTTCTGCAGACTCTAATCAACCTGTCGAAGAAAGTTGAAAATGTACTGCAGAAGTTCGAACAGGCAGAAGTGCAAAGGAATGATTTAACTGTTGTTAAACATTTGAAATTACCTGTTGGGCAGTTACAAGAAGAAATGGTTATACTAACTAGCAATTTTGACAAATTATCGGAAGACGAAAGGTTTGCGTGTGACTTAACTGCTCCTATAAGTGATTTATCTGCGGCTTTAAATATAGTGGAAAAACTGGCTAAAGATCGTAAAACAGAAGACATAACAGCTAGCGCCCTTCAAGCTTTCGAAAACATTATTCCACCGTTTGAAGATTTACTGATTGAATTTGTTAAAATAAATTCTACACTTGAAAAAACAAACACGATAAGAGACCAGTACACTAACTTCATCAAATCGTTAAACAGGCTTAAGGAGTGTATCGATACTCTTTTGTTAGCGCCCGTTGAAACGAAGACGGTGGAAGTTCTTTTTATGCCGCTACAAGCTTTGACCCAAAGAATTACAGAAATTAAAAACAAACTAACGTCTAAAATAGAATTCGAACAAGATGAACACCGCACCCGCTTAATACAACCACTTGTATCTGTAAAAGAAGAACTACTAGCTTTAAAATCGGATATAAAAATACTGCAAACCCCACCTCTGAATGCAGTTTTATCAGTAACAGAAATGGAAGTTCCTGTTCAAAAGATCATCGAAACATGTAGAAGTTTAGACTCTAAACTAATCCCTAAATTGGAACAAATTAACGACACCGTAGCAACACCCTTTGGTGAGTTACTGAGAGCTCTGGTTACAGTAAAATCCGTCATGACCAGTCCAGAACTTACCGTCTTAGAGTTGCCAGTATTGACTAAAGTATTAAAGTCGGTAAAAGCTAGTACTGAGTTAATTGCGTCAGATCCAACGTTTGATGAAACTAAAATTAATGAACCAATAGCTACACTAAACAAAATGATATCAGACATTATAGAAGAAAGTGTTAAACTGAGAAACGACTTTAAAACTTTAACAAATCTCGATCAAGCATTGGAAAATCTAATGAATACTGTTAAAGGCCTTAATACAAATGCAAATGCGTTAGCGGCAATAAGCGAGGCAAATATTTTGGTTTTGGAAAAGTTGTCAGAACCAATAAAACAACTTCAGGATAATATTAGGTTTGCCAAAGACACCGGACATGACTTAAACGACTTTTCTCTTGAATATGCTACAAAAATATACAATGCAGGTGATAAAATAACAGGACTGGCGTTATTCTTGGAAGATATCCTTGGGGACATTAACACCTTAGACGAGGATCTGTGCTGTATTCTGGAAGATCTAAGGAACGATTTTTCAGAAACTTCCCGTACTGTGTCATTAAATGAAAAAATGGAGATAGTATCGCAGTCTCTCTTATTATTTGCAGAAAGTTTATCTTTACCTATTAGCCAATTTAGGAAGACGATACTGGCTAAAAGGAAGGATATGAGATTTATTCTCGATTTGAAAGATGCTGTAAGTCACCTTAGAAATAATTTAGATAAGAATTTAGCAACCCTTAAATTGATGCCATCACTCGACTTACTGCAAGCGACTTTGTCTGAAACAGAACAAAACATAGCATCTAAAGGAAAAAGCGATATTACTGCAAATATATCACATAAATTAAAGTTATCTGAAAGCATATCAGATCTTGATATCGCTTTACAAGGTTCTGAAAATGACGTAAAGATTTTAAAACATCTAGAGTTGGTAGAGAACAAACTATCACAAACTATAGATACTCTAAATAATGTAAAAATTTTAAAACCTGTCAATAATCCCCTTGCTGTATTAAAAGATGCAATAGTTGATATAATTAAAGAAATAAGAGAAAACCAGTTAATAGATGAAAATAGGAAAGAACAAAATAAAGAAGAGGAGATTAAAGTGGAAGAAGAGCCAGATAAAGACAAAAAACTTAATAAACCAAAACAAGAAGTAGAAGACAAAAATGAACCGACAGGCGAAAAAGAAGTGGAAGAGTTGCGTAGTAAAGAACAGGTTTCAACGGAAATCCAAGAGGAACCACAGAGAGGAAAGCAAGATAAAAAGAAAACTAAAAAAGAAGAAACTGGAAAAGATGAAGCTAAAGTTAAGAAACCAGATATAGAACCAGAAACGAAGAGCAGCATTGTGGAAGATAAAAAAGAAATTAAAACAGAAATTGAAAATAATAAATTAAAATCTGTGGAAGAAACAAAAGAGAAAGTTACTGTAGAAGAAAATGAACAACAAATAAAAAGTGAAACTGATGAAAAACCTGAAACTGAAACAAAAGAAGAGGAAGCAAAACTTGAAGATGAAGGAAATAAGCAAATTTTAAAAAATAAAAGTGAGAAGCCGGCCATGGAAATCAAGGCTGAAGTAGAAAAAGGTAAAGAGGATGATGCCGGAAAAACAAGTAAAGAAAAAGGAAAGAGTGAAAGTAAAGAAAAATCTGATAGTAAAACTGAAGAATTGATTACAGACAAAGTTGAAGGGAAGATCACTAAGGACGAGAAAACTGAACAAGACATAAAAGAACAATCTGAACCTAAAAAGAAGGAACTAGGTGATGACAGAGTCAAAGCTTCAGATGAGGAAGGTAAACAGGATCTAAAAGACAAAGAGTGTGCCGTGGCAGTAAAAGCAGGAGAGGAAATAGATAAAGACAAGGATGCGACAAAAGTAGGTAAAGGAAAGGGAAAACGTAAAGAAAAATCTGACAAGAAAAAGGAAGAACTGATTAAAGATAAGGTCGAAGAGAAAGTTATCGAAGACGAGAAAGCTAAACAAGAAATACAAAGTGAAGTTAAAGAGAAGTCAGAATCTAAAAAGGAGGAATTAAGTGAGAAAGACAAAGTGAAAGCTGCAGACGGAGAAAGTAAACAAGACTTAAAAGATAAAACTGAGGGGGAACTTGATGTAGAAGTTAAAGCACTAAAGGAAAAAGATAAGGATGCCGAAAAAGCAAGTAAAGAAGAAGCAGAAGGTGAAAATAAAGAAAAGTCTGACGCAGTTAAAGAAAGTGTTATCAAAGAAGAGGAAGCGAAGCATGAAATAAAAAGGGGAATTGAAGAAAAATCTGAAACGGAAAAGAAGGAATTAGGTGAGAAAGACGAAGTGAAAGCTGCAGATGAGAGAAGTAAAAAAGATTTGAAAGATGAAGAGAAGGATGTTAAAAAAGAAAAAGGAGGAAGTGCAACTAAAGAGAACAACAAAAAGGAAAAATTAATGTTAGACAAAGATAAAGAAATGGTAGATAAACAAGATATACAAAACGAAACTGAGACGAAAAAGAAGGAATCAAGCGATGAAAAGGCGGCCAAACCTACAGAAGAAGCGAAAAAAGATAAAACTGGGGAGGACCTTGCAGTAAAAAAGCAAAAAACACTAGAAAAGGATAAAGAAAGTGATCCTAAGAAAGCAAGTAAACGAAAAGTAAAAGGTGAGAGTAAAGAGAAATCTGAAATTAAGAAGAAAGAAGTGGCTGCGGACGAAACTAAAGAAAAAAATCTGGAAGAAGAGAATAAAAAGGAAATTAAAAATGAAACTGAAGAGAACACTGAAATTAAAAAGGAAGTTCTAAGTGAGAAAGAGAAACATGTAGCTGACACAAATAAGCAAGACTTAAAAGACGAAAGCAAAGAGCCTGCAAATAAAACGAAAACAGTAGTGGAAAAAGATAAAGCAGATGATATTGAAAAAGAAACGGAACGGCAATTAAAGGATAAAGGTAAGGAAAAATTACAAACAGAGAAAGAAGCCAGCGGCGCAGAAAAAAGTAAAATTGTAGAAGAAAGTAAACAAGAAATAGAAACTAGTCTTAAAGAGAAAGCAGATATTAACAAGGAAAAAAATAAAAGCGATAAATCTGCAGATATAATGAAAGATAAAGACATCCAACAAGACAATAAAAAAGTAAAAGGAGAAAAACAGACAAAAATTGATGAATCGAAGAAAAAAGGTGTTGAACCTAGAGATGAAGTTAACGAAAAAGATTCAAAAAAAGACAAGAAAGTCGTACAAGATGAAACTAAAAAGACAACTGAAGGTAAAAGGAAAAAGTCCAGTGAGAAAGAAAAAGAGGTTACAGAAATTTTAGAAAAAGACTCGAAGAAAGGAAAAGAAGAATTGAAAGATGGAGAAAAAATTGAAACTAAAACTGAGGAATTGAGTGTAAACGAAAAAGTTAAACACGAGGAGGCAATTAAAGAAAATGATATTAAAAATAAAAGTGAACAAGATATAAAACGTGAAACTGATCTGACTGAAGAAGACAACATAAAAGTAATATCTCAAAAAGACAATGCCGAAGAAGATGTTATAAAGGAAGAAAAATCCGAAACAATAGATGATGTAAAACAAAAAGCGTTGAGTGAGGAAGAAAAGGTTAAATCTGAAGATATAAAAGAAAGCAAACGAGAGGTAAAAAGTGAAACCGAACTTAAAAAGAAAAGATCAGCTGAGGAAATAAAAGATAAAAGTAAACTTGATAGCGAAGTAACATCCACCAAAGAAGAAATTAAAAAACCGGTGGAGGATGAAGCTGACAAAAAATCTATGAGAGATAAGAAGTCAAATGAGAAACGTAAAGACAGAGATGCCATCAAAGACATCAAAGAGGGAGACGACGGAAAAAAGAAAGGTGCAGCTAAAAGAAATATTAACGAAAGCGATATCAAAACCGAAAAGAATAAAGAAGATACAAAAATTGAATCTGAAAAACAATCAGAAATTAAAAAGATCGGAGATATTAAGGAAGCGGATGTTAAATTAGAAAATAAAGTTGAACAAAAAGGCATTAAAAATGAAAGTAAAGGAGATTTAAAACATGAAGCGAAAGACAAACTTGACATAAAAGATGAACCACAAAAAGTAGAGGAAGGAAAAAGTATTACTGAACAAAAGGAAAAAGATAAGAAGACAGAAGACATAGTGAAAGAGAAGGATACGACACCTGCAGAAAAAGAGACTAAAGATGAAAATGTGGTTAAACCTAAGAAACAACGGAAAGAAAAGCCACTGGAACCCAAAGATTTAAAAGCAGATGGGAAATCCTCATCAACACCGGATATTAAAGACACAAAGTCAGAATCTGCTGAACAACATAAAATATCAGAAACAGAAAAGAAAGAACCGAAAACAGATTTAAAAGAAAAGGAAATTACTACAGAGGGAGATAAGACAGTTTCTGAATCTGTCGAAGAAAAAGATAAAAGAGTGAAAGATATTACAGACGATAAAACAAAATCTGCAGGTATTGCACAAAAAGAAATAAATGAAAAGGAAGTTAAAGAGGAAAAACCCCTTCAGACGGAGAAACTTACATCAGAAGAAAAAGTAAAACAAACTGAAAGTAATAAGGATGAAGGGAAGAAAGATGCAAAACAGAAAAAAGTTAAAGGAACAGAGAAGAAATCTAAAGAAGAAAAAGAAAAGTCAAGTGATAGAGATAAAAAGAGTGAGAAAGTATTAGAAAATCAGACAATATCTGATCTAGAAGTTATTGAACATAAAGCCGATAAACGGGATGATTTGATAGAAGAAACAGGTCCAAAAACTGTTCAAGTTATTCCTGAAGATAAACGATTACAAGATAAAGTAGTGAACGAGAAAGACTCACAAAAACCAAAAGAAGATAAAGGTAATGAAGAAACTGACAGACTTAGAGAGGCAAAAGAAAGTAAAGTAGATACTGAAACCCTTCTTGAAAAGAAATTGGAGGAGAAAAAGAAAAGCGTAACGGAGATCGAGGAAACAGAAAAGAAAAAGACAAAAGCTGCATCATCAAAAATAAAAGATAAAGGACCGAGAACCATGTTAGAAACAGAAAAAGATGTTAAAGATTTAAAGGCAAAGGATGAATCTTCCATTACAGTTAACGGTGAAGTGAAATTAAAGAAGGAGGAAAAAGTATCGAAATTAGAGGAAGAAGAGAAATCGGTAGAAGTAAAATCTAGAGAGGAAATTAAAAAAAGTAAAGAGCCTATTCGTCAGGCACGTAAAGATTTGAAGTCTGGTATAAAAGACAAAGATAAAATAGACAAACAACAAGATAAAGTGAAAAAGGAAGAAGACAGGGAAGATAAAAGTAAAAATTTAATAAATGGCACCACCGTTAGCCCGTACACAGACGATGTGGAATCGCAACATTCAAACAGGCACGCAATTTTAGAAACCAAGCAAATAAGACCAGATATAGATTTAGACATGTACAAGCCGACATCTTACCACGGACCAAGATTTTCAGAAAGAAAACCAACATTTACTACCAACTTAACCAGTCGCACTGCCACAACTGGATGTAGAGTTAAAATGACGTGTAGTGTTATCGGGGAAGGAACTGAAATAAATTGGTTCAAAAATGGTAAACCCGTCTCCTCTGAAACTAACTACTACATAGAATATTCGAACAACGTGGCAACCTTAGAAATTTTGAACACGTCTCCTGATGATTCTGCAGAATATTCATGTGTAGCTAAAAACGAGCATGGGATGAGCTCAACATCGGCCGATCTAAAAATAATAGATGGATTCGATCCTTCGCCTCTCCCGCCTACATTTACAAGACCTATTCGAGATTACTACCGAATTAAACAGAATGAACTGACTTTAGAATGCAGAATCAGAAGTCAGCCTGCTCCGACAATAAAATGGTACAAAAATGGAGAGGAACTGAGCCCAAGCATGAGAGTTGCCCAAAGCTACTTGGCTGATGGTATATGTAAGTTATCCATATCTAACCCTGACAAAACCGACAGTGGAAGGTATACCTGTAGGGCAGAGAATAAATCATGGAATGATCAAATATCCCACGAGGTCAAATTCACTTCAAAGGAAGATTACATAAAAGAAAAATCGGAACATAGGACAATTTTTAAATCTACTACATCTGAATCAAGAAGACCTTACTTCTCCGGAGTTTTGACGGACAACTTCGTCCCTTCAGGTGGCGTAATGGCTCTGCAGGTGCAAGTGAAAGGTAGTCCCGCTGAAGTAACATGGTTCAAAGAAAGCGCTAAGTTACCAAAAGCATCTCCAAGACATAGAACATTTGAGGAACATGGAGTTCACACATTAGTCGTACCAAATATAAATGAATATGAAGCAGGAAAATATACTTGTAGGGCATCTAACTCATATGGACGTATAGAAACTTCAGCTTATGTCCAAGTGGTGCACCCGTCGTTGATTCGAGAAGGAAAACCGGCAATGTTTTTGTCCAGGCCTGAGAAAATCTTGAACGTAGCTACTGGGGAAGACATAGTTGTCTCCTTTAGAGTAACTGGAGATCCAAAGCCAAGAGGTAAGTTAACTGTCACCAATCAAAGAATGTACTAATTATTTCCTTTCAGTTACTTGGATGAAAGGCTTAAGAGACATAACGGACAGTTTGAGATCCTTAAAAGAAACATCAGACGACTATGTCAGGTTTACCCTGAAGAGGGCAACTAATGACGATGTCGGTACTTACTGTATTCTTGCTAAAAATCGATATGGCTGTGATAGAGCGTTCTTCACCGTGCGCTTAAGGCATAGGGCGCGATCTGTGACACCTTCGAGGGAGGATGCGCAAACAATTTTGGCAGACATTCCATCGTACCGTGAGAGACGTTCAATGACTGGTAAGTCAAAAATTATCATGTACGGGGTGTGATCTTTTTCATTTCGGAAAATGCAAATGAATACGTAGATATTGAAAATTGTCATTTAAAAGACAGCGTTATTAAAAAAAGATAGAAACAAAAACCAAAAATGAATTTCCAACAATAACTTTGAGTTTATTAACAATTTTAATAAATAAGGTCTCAAATATTCAATACACAGCCCCGCAAAAAAAAGTATCGGATCTGGTATTCAGACCTATGTATTTCCATGTATTTTTTTCCGCTGAATCCGAATCTGCTTTCAGATTTGGCCCAACGGGTCCGAGTTTTCGGGAAAATTCAAAAAACAGGTCAAAATTCACAAAAAAACGTCATTTACGATCGACGAAAGTTATAAAAAATCAAATTATACTACCAACTCACTAGACGTATGATTTTTCATTCGCTTAATTCCAATTTATCATCACAGAGTCAGACAAGCTGGTCCAATTTCATTCAAAAACAGAAAATAAACCAAAATGCTTAAAAACGCCATTTTCATGGCATAATTCGTGTTGCAAAGTTCTGAATCCATCTTTTTATCCACCCACCCATTTATTAATTCATACATCTTTCTATCCAGTCGTTATTGCATGAATACGCAACGCATATTTAGTCATCCACCTGTACCACCTATAAAACCCACCCATCCACCCATCTATCCATCTACTTTTTGTGCTGAGAGATGAGATAACAGCCTAGAATATTGAGAATGCAATAAAACTTGTAGAATACTCTACTTTCTAAACAAAAGAAAACGATATCTACAAATCATTCTTATTTTTGTTGCTATAACGTGTTTTCTTTTCTTCAAAGGATCTATGCAAAGGGTTAGGCTTTCATTTAGTCCCTCTATTTTTCGTTTCTCCTTTTAACAACCAACAAAATTTCGCCCTATATATGTATAGGGCGAAAATTTCCGAATATTTCTGAGGCGAAATTGAAAGAAGGACTTCAGATTCGGACATTGTTCAAGGATGCAACATTCATCACTACAATGAGTAGCGTTGAGAAGAGTTTGACTAGTTTCAAAGTTGTAGCGACAAATTTTTTTAGGAAACAACAAGAGTCCTAAATACGAAGAAATTGTATCAAAAATGATAAAAGACCTCTAAGACCTGGGATGTCTGATGGACTACAAGTTGCACGTCCTTCATTCACATTTGGATTGGTTTCTTGAAAATCTTAGAGATTATAGCCATGAACAAGGCGAACGATCTCATCAGGATATGAAGGTTATAGAACTGCGATATCAAGGAAGATGGGATGAAAACATGGTGGCCGATTTTTGTTGGTTGTTAAAAAGAAAAACGAAAAATAGGGAGACTAAACGAAAGCGTAACCCTTTGCATAGATCCTTTGAAGAAAAGGGAACACGTTATAGCAACAAAAATAAAAATGATTTATAGATATCGTCTTCTTTTGTTTAGAAAGTAGAGTATTCTACAAGTTTTATTGCATTCTCAATCTTCTGGGCTGTTATCTCATGTCTCAGTACAAAAAGTAGATGGATAGATGGGTGAATGGGTGGGTTTTATAGGTGGTACAGGTGGAAGAATAAATATGCGTATTCATGCATGAACGACTGGATAGAAAGATGTATGAATTCATAAATGGGTGGGTGGATAAAAAGATGAATCCAGAACTCTGCAACACGAATTATGCCATGAAAATGGCGTTTTTAAGCATTTTGATCTATTTTCTGTTTTGGAATGAAATTGGACCAGCTTGTCTTGACACTATGAAGATAAATTGGAATTAATCGAGTGAAAAATCATATGTCTAGTAAGCTGAGTGGCTAATTTGATTTTTTATAACTGTCGTCGATCGTAAATGACTTTTTCTGTGAATTTTTGTGGGGTTGTGTAATTAACCAACAAAAAAAGAAAAGTGGTCTGTTCTAAAGACTAGATCTATGTATCCTCATGTATTTTGACGCGCTGAACAGAATCCGGGGCAGAATAATTACTCAATTACTCTCCATTTTTTTAAAATCGCAGAAAAACCACATTTAAATATAGAAACATTTGGAACAATTATAAAAAAAGAAAGGAAGTTATAGGTGGACCATATCTATATGATTTTTGACGTTCTGAAGCCAATCCGAAGTTGAAATTATTCTATCACCATCCAGTATTTTTATCTCGTGGAAAATAAGCCGAAAATCTGGGAAATTTCTTCCCAGAGATAGTCAGAACATCGGCCATTTGATGCCCCTAAAGAGGGATGAGGGTATTCGAAGATGTGAACATCGTTTCCAGATAAAAAAAAATATGTTCCTTTAACTTCTTATTCCTTTTGTAACAAACTCGGCTATCTTCAAACGACCTACGCATTTTTCTCTTTTCTATGTTTTTGGATAGTTTTTCCTTTTAAGAATCCAACAGAAATCTGCCATGGTATTAATATCTCACCTTCCTTGATAATGACGTTCCATTTCCTTGATATCATGGTGAAACCTCTCATCCTGTTCTTTGCTGTAGTCTTTGAAGTTCTCCGGAAAGCAGTCAAGATGATTCATCAGGCAACTGTTTGAAGTTTTCCAACAATTCCCCAATTAAATTCTGGCAATACTCACTCTTCTGATTCCCTAAGAAATTCTGAGTGACTTTCTTGAAACTCAGCTATGCTGCTCTATCAGTATCATTCATTTTTGTGATAAATTTTTCGTCTCTGAACACGGTACCTTCTTTCAGTTTAATATCACTTATTTCCGGAAACTTCTCTCCTAAATATCTAAAACAGTCGTCATCTTTGTAAAAAGCTTTTACGAACCATTTCTAGAGACCACGTTTAATATGGAAAGGTGGAAACAGAATATTTAAAGGATCAACTATGCACTGTAAAGAAATTTCACTCAAATTTCACTCAATTTTACTCAGTGATGTATAAATTTATGTCCACACTCGATTGAGCGAAATTTTCACTCTATTAGTATGAGTACAACTGATTGAAACTATTGTATCAGAAATTAGTGAGTATTACTCAAATCCGAATTTCTGCAAGTTTGCGGTTATCACTTGAGTGACTTTTGACTCTATTCTGAGTTTATAAAACCGATTTAGAGTTGACTTTTTCCCTAATATGATTTAAATTTAGCTATTATTGAGTTACTCAGACTTGGTTTTTAATTAACTAAATATTGGCTTGTTCTCCTGGCGATCACGCTTTTCTGGAGCATCTAACGAGCCCCTATCAACTGTGATTGAAATTTGTTCTTTTTGGCCATACTTTAGATTCACAGTGATTCTTTCTGTCTCTAATATTTCATAGATAAAACAAGCAGGGATGAAAGATGCTGGTAATACTCTTGTTTTGAAAAATATAATTTTCCATATTTTTTGTATTTAAGGGCGATTTTTTGCTATTTAAAAAAAATAATGGAAGGTGATGTAGCAATTATGGTCCCGAATTCGGATTCAGTGCAAAATAAAGAATACATGCGTTTAATCTTTGGAACAGACCACTTTTCTATTCTTGTGGGAGTGTGTTATTAAAGAACCCAAACTATTAAAATAGCAATCAATTTAATTTAAATTATTTTTGGAAAATTTTTGTATCTGACAAAACTGTGACAATTAACACTCTGCGAGCTACAGCCCTGTCCAGCATTGAATTACACCCGCAATATCTAGTAAACTGCTAAGATCATTCGTCGGCAGAATCGCCAGACTATGCCTTATTAGTTCTTATCGTTATGCCATAGGTGTAAAATAATGCTTTTTGTTAATAAATATTGAGCAACGTTAACAATTAATATATGACATACTTTGTAGGTTACATCTCACCCACATTTAAAACATGTTAATAGATAGGTATCCAATTATCTAAATCGTTAATTGGTCGTCTCACCTATTACAAATTAATGAATACTAATAAGTAAGAAACTGGTGTTAGCTGTTTACTAGATCAGTATCAGCTAGCACCAATTGGTCGTAATTTAATGCTGGACGGAGCTGTAGTCGGCAGAGTAGTTGTTCCCAAAATATCACTATTTAGAAAGTTTATTTCGCCTAGTTTGATACTAGTCATGTTTGACAACTAAGACTGATTATATCACAACATACTTCGTAGGTTACGTATATCTCACAGCATTTTTTTTAAATACAAATTTCTTTTGCACTCCATTGGCTTAAAGTGCCTATATTGTTTTAAATTATAACTTAGAAAGGAAGTGTCGCTTTTGCTAGGGATTTAATTTAATTTATCTAACAACAATAAATCAACGAATTTTGGATGTTTCAAATCAGGGAGTACAAAAAGTGTCTTCTAATCTACTTTTATTGTGGGTTATAATTTACGTTATTTTTATTAAGTTTCAACCCTTATAAACCACTCTTAATGATAAAAATATAAAATTAATGACCTTAAAATATTTTTATAGCGCATACCTATATTATAGGTAGAAATCTTTTCAATAGTTTATGGTATTTTAAATAATTTATTACAATATTTCAACCCTTAAAAAACTACCCTAAATAACAAAATATTAAAAAAAATAGTTTTTAACAGTTTGAAATGATTTGAAAGTACAAACAGGATAAATTTAATTCTTTTACCTGTTTATAATACAATTTATAATTTATCTCATTGTTCTAACCACCCCCAATAACAACAAAATATAAAAAAATTGGCTTTTAGATTAAGCATTTAAAATGAATTATAGTGCTCTGCTATACAGGGTGTCTCAAAATTAGCTGCCAACTCTGAACAGGCCGATTCTATGATCAAAACTAAGTAAAAAAGTTCATATGAACATGGGTCCGGAAATGCTTCCTAAGGGCAAAGGGACCCATTGAAGAGGGATGAATGGAAATCATTTTTTTGCAATATCTCCCAATCGCGTTGTGATAAATGAATGAAATTTGGTATACACAGCTAAATTTTGATGAGAAATTTGATGGACTAATTCATTTATTTCCACAAGGTCCATTGGGGTGGGTACGGGGGGGCCTTTGGTACTTTGCGTGTGTAACTTT